AACATTGTGTTGGTGGGGGTAGGTGGCGACATGGGCGTAGCCAGGATTTTTGTTGTGGGGGGAGCCAAAGTTGTTGAGGGTGGGTTTTTTTTAAAAAATGATGGAATACAGAATAAGAGAACAAGAAGAACATACGTTTAGAGAAGATTGGGAAATGTTTATTGAATATATGGGGGGGAGGGAATTATGTACACTTGAAAATGTTGGCAGCATTAAGATAAATTCAGCAGTGTAAGTTTTGATGGATGTAATAATGGAACACTGCTTTAGCTTATGGAAAATATTCAGGGATTTATGATATGCAAAATGAACCATGGAAAGAGAAGGGAAGTCATTGATATTTTAAGGTTGTTTAAGCTACAGAGCCTAGGACTTGCCGATCAGAAGGTTGGCAGTACAAATTCCCACAATGGGGTGAGCTCCCGTTGTTCGTTCCCTGCTCCGGCCAACCTAGGAGTTCGAAAGCACCTCAAAGTGCAAGTAGATAGATAGGTACCGCTCCAGTGGGAAGGTAAACTGCGTTTCTGTGCGCTGCTCTGGTTTGCCAGAAGCAGCTTAGTCATGCTGGCCACATGACCCGGAAGCTGTACGCCGGCTCCCTCGGCCAATAAAGCGAGATGAGCGCCGCAACCCCAGAGTCGGTCACGACTGGACCTAATGGTCAGGGTTACCTTTACCTAAATGTCTAATACCTTTTGTAATGAATTGCTTGGGTTGTTGATCAGTGGGCACCCTGAGGAAATAAATATTTATTTTGCTGTCTTCTTTGATTTTAGCACACATTTGCAAATTTATTTTAAAGTGTTACTCAGCGGGGGGGTTGGCTATGCGTAGCAGAAAAGGTGTTCTTCGGAATTTGGTTTTTCATCCCATCCTTCCCACCTAATAATCCCAGGTGAGCTATATGAATTCGTTCTGCATTCTGTATTTCTGTACTTGAGCTGCACATCGGTCCCTGGCTGCGTAGAGATGATGACGACGGCTGACTTGCGCAAACGTCTGCGCTGCAAGCCTTCGAGCAGCAATCAAAATGCGATGCTTCCCGTCCAAGATTCTCTTCTTCACTCCCAGCTCGCTCACTCCTCTTCCCCCCGCCCCCGCGGCGCTGTCTCCCGCCCAGCTCTCTGATTGGCTCAACGCTCTTTCCTGACGCACCGCGCGCAGCTGCTGAGGCCCGGCCCTCCGGAGTAAGCCCCGCCCCCCGGTGCATCCTGCCACAGAGATAGAAAAAATGTAGAGTAATACGAAACGGAGAGTTAAAAAAAGAAGAAGACAATATTCAGTAGGCTATCCCGCCTCGCCGCCCTTGGGGGCCCATAGAAAGCAATGGAGAAACACGGGATTTTGGGGAGCACCGCGAGCGCCCAAGATGAAAACAGAAGCAGGATCAAATATTTTGTTTTAGTTACTTATTTATTAAACTTATTGGTTGCTCATCTTCTCAAAGTCTCTGTGCGACTTGCAGCAAATACACACACACACACACTACCATCAAGATTTTATTTATTTTATTTACTTATTAACCTTATTAGTCACTTGTCACATGAAGGTCTTCATGCAACTGGCATCAAATACACACACACACCAAAATACCGTTAAATACTTATTTATTTTATTTATTCTTATTTGTCATTTGAAAGTCATTTATCAACTTATTAGCCATTTGTCAAAGCCCTTTTCGGGGGCTTGGCTACTGTTGTATGCTCGGGCTGCCATACATTACCAGGATTTCAGAGGCGGAATTGAATTCCAGGGGAAATTTCTGAAAGGCGGTGCTTTGTCCTGGATCTTAGGGAAGTAAATTGAAAAATCAGGGTTTTCGGCATTCCTTAAAAAAACAACTCAGTAACTTTCAAGGTGTCCTGGTTTTTACTTTTTGAAATAAGGCAACCCTATATGCTGACATGTGAGAGCTGAGTGCAGGGTAGAGACCAAAGGTGGACAAACTACCGCAAAAGGAACATGATGTTTCCCTCTTCAGAGGTGCTAGGTAAAGGTAAAGGGACCCCTGACCATTAGGTCCAGTCGTGACCGACTCTGGGGTTGCGGCGCTCATCTCGCTTTATTGGCCAAGGGAGCCGGCGTACAGCTTCTGGGTCATGTGGCCAGCATGACTAAGCCGCTTCTGGGGAACCAGAGCAGCGCCCGGAAACGCCGTTTACCTTCCCGCCGGAGCAGTACCTATTTATCTACTTGCACTTTGACGTGCTTTCGAACTGCTAGGTTGGCAGGAGCAGGGACCAAGCAACAGGAGCTCACCCTGTCGTGGGGATTTGAACCGCCGACCTTCTGATTGGCAAGTCCTAGGCTCTGTGGTTTAACCCACAGCGCCATCCTTGTCCCAGAGGTGCTACATCTCCCCTAACACCCAAAACTCTTATCCTAAACCTCCACTGCCTTGGAGGGATATCTCTGTCAGAAAAAAAGGCTAAAAAGCAAACACTACACAAATCCAGAGTGGAGTCTCTAAGACACTTGGATGGCGCCTTGTACGTCTCCTTCTGGCAACTTATTCAGCCAAGCTGGTGCCAAATGTATTGCTCTGCTATCCTTTGAACCACCTCGGTGAGGCTGAGAGTGGGGTCTTGTCTCCTGGGCAGCCCAGGACCTCCATACGCACTGCCCAGGCTGGCGCCCAAGACGGTCACTTTGGTGCTGCTAACACAACCATTTGACCCCTGGAGGTGTACTCCATTGTCACTTGAGACAGAGGGATGCTGTTGAAGGAAAATCCTTGGGCTCACTTTGGATTACCAAACAAAGATGCTAGCCAAGAATATAGGAGCAAAACAGCAGCCAGTAGGCTTGATCTTTATTCAACAAGACTGTTGCAACAGCACTTCCACATGGGAGAAGCAGAGAGAAGGGCAGAACAAAGGAGGGTTCAAACTTCTGTCAGTTTCCAAAATTACCAGTAAGACCCATAAAACGACATCACAACTACATCACTGTTACATCACATAAGGGGAGGGCTATGTGGCAGTAACCTGAGTACCAGGGCTTGCCCCCTACCATTCCCTGAGCTCCACTTTACACCCATCAAGTAAGACAATACTGTAGTAATATTTACATGTTCCTGGTGCTCTTGGGCAAGCAATCACACTTCTTTGTCTCGGACAGGAGTGCTATCTACCGTATTTTTTGCTCTATAAGACTCACTTTTCCCCTCCTAAAAAGTAAGGGGAAATGTGTGTGCGTCTTATGGAGCGAATGCAGGCTGCGCAGATATCCCAGGAGCCAGAACAGCAAGAAGGATCGCTGCTTTCGCTGCGCAGCGATCCCTCTTGTTGTTCTGGCTTCTGAGATTCAGAATTCCCCCCCTTGTTTTCCTCCTCCAAAAACTAGGTGCGTCTTATGGTCTGATGCGTCTTATAGAGCGAAAAATACGGTAATTTTGAATGGTCCGCTACCAACAGGTGACAACTATTTGATGACTATGCCCGGGATTATGTCATTCCTTCAACAATGCCAACAGTGTATATATAATATACGGACACCCTGCGTTACAAAGTTTGATACAAACATGACATGAAGGCTGTCAACATCAACCCTGCTGTGTGGGAATCCCTTGCAGATGACCACTGCATTGCCTGGAAGCAATCAGGTTGTGTACCCACAGCAGTGAACTGAGGAGACATGACATCTGGGGGGAACACCGAGAAAGAAACGCCACGTTACACCTGCATCAGCGCAACCGGACGCTTTCATCTGCCGCAGTTGCAATAAAACATGTCTCTTCTGTGTTAGTTTCTGCAGCTGCAGTAGGCGCTGTAACTCTCCAATGGTTTGACTTCACCCCCCCCCCCAATGGCGCACTCCCTTCCACTGTCTCTCAAGACCGACGGATGCGAATGACAATTACAAGGTATAATACAATATTATGTTGACAGATTAGTAGTTTACATAATGAAGACACTGAGACACCGTGCCACCTCTGCGAGAGAGTCAGAGGGTGGCAACACAAGAGCAGGGCCTTTTCTGTAGTGGCTCCCTGCTTGTGGGGTGCTCTCCCCAGGGATGCTCTCCTGGTGTCTTGATTACATATCTTTAGGTGCTGGGTGAAAACATCCGTCTTCTCCCAAGGGCTTTGGCTAATTACATAATCTATGGCCTTTTATGACGTGGGTAGCGCTGTGGTCTAAACCACAGAGCCTAGGGCTTGCCGATCAGAAGGTCGGCGGTTCGAATCCCCACGACGGGGTGAGCTCCCGTTCCTCAGTCCCTGCTCCTGCCAACCTAGCAGTTCAAAAGCACGTCAAAGTGCAAGTAGATAAATAGGTACCGCTCCGGCGGGAAGGCGTTTCCGTGCGCTGCTCTGGGTCACCAGAAGCGGTTTAGTCACGCTGGCCACATGACCCGGAAGCTGACTGTGGACAAATGCCAGCTCCCTCGGCCTATAGAGCGAGATGAGCGCCACAACCCCAGAGTCATCCACAACTGGACCTAACGGTCAGGGGTACCTTTACCTTTATAGCCTTTTAAGCTCTCTCTCTGTGTGGGGTGGATTTGGGAGTTATTGTTTGTTTATGTATTTTTGCGTTTCTATTCTTTAGACCGCCCTATGGTGCACAGATGAAGGGCGGTATATGAATTTACCACAGACCAACAAATAATAAACATCGTTTTCAGATGGACACACCACTGCCCCATCACACCCATGCCAAAAACTTATATTATTCCACTGGTTTATTACAGAGCATCCCTACACACATCTAGAAATATCGTCCCACAGAGTTCAGCGGGGATTTCTTCCCAGGTACGTGTCATAATGGTAACAGCATTATAGTTAGGGCAGTTTTCACATGGGAGACCCGAATAAGAATAAAAATAAGAAAAATGTTTATTCCACGTGAACTCGGCAGCCCTATCAGACAGACTCGCCGCTCTCTTTGTTTTTCCTAGCTCTATGGACTGCTTTCACGTATTGACGCCGGGAGGGAGCGCGCCTGCTCGCTCGCCCGCCCGCCCACCCGCTCGCGCGCGCGCGCGCACTCCTCCCCGCCCCCTCCCAACCGGAACCGTGGAGGTTGCTAGGGAAACGGGAGAGACGCTGCCCGCCGGCGCTTTGGGAGGGAGGAGAGCCCGAGCGCGCGTGAGGGAGGCAGCGGGGGAAAGGAAAGGTGAGGGGGGGAGGGAAGGAAGGAAGGAGGGGCTCCCTTGGGGGTGGGGCGGGGGGGGTTGACCGACACCCCCACATTAATTCCAAGCGCCCCTTCGTCAGCCCCTTTGCGGGGCGAACGCGGGAAATCTTCGTCCCCATTCCCGTCTTTTGGAGACACTGACTCTGCCTCCCCCCCCCCCACCTGAAGTGAAAGGCTCTCTCTCCCCCCCCCCCCACGCGGGGAGAAGGGGGCGGGGCGCCCGGGTTTAACCCGACCTCTTCCTCCTCTGGGGAGGCGGCTGAGGGGGAGGTCTCGTCTCCCTATGGCCATGTTGGTGGTGGCTCCCCTTTTTGCAGAGGGAAGAAGACCCAGGCACAGGTAGGCATAAGCAGGTGCACCACAGACACACAGAGACACACTGAAACACAGACACAAACGCGCGCACACACCTAAACACACACACACACACACAGAAACAGATGCAGGCACACACACACAAAGACACAGACAGACACAGACACACACTCACAGGCAGGCACACACAGACACACAGAAACAGACACAGGCGCACACACACGTAAAGACACAGATGGACACAGACACACACTCACAGACACACACACATAAAGACACAGACGGACACAGATACACATGCACACAGACAGACAGACAGACACACACACACACAAAAATAGACACAGGCACACACAGAGAAAGACACAGGCGTGCGTGCGTGCGCGCGCGCACACACACACACACACACACACAATACACCCTGCTGGGGAACAGCCTCTGGTCCAAATTACACATTTTCCCTATATTATATAAGATGTTTTTTACGCAGCTATTTTTATATATGTGAGGGAGACCCGATCCCCTTCCCAATTTGAGGGGGGTGACAGGATGGACTCGCCTTCCCATCTTCTAAGAAGCTTGGACACCCTCTTCCTCCCTACCCCAGGCTCTCCCCACAACACTGTTCTGTAAAATATGAGCACAATCAGCGGTTCTTCTCCTAATATGCCTAGGTGTCCCCACTTAGGATGTTTCATATCACAAATGGGTCCCGGAGATGTTGCAAAAGGGTAGCTTGCAACAGCTTTTTAACAAACCGGGGTTTTCCTTGGGAAAGGTGAAACTTGGTTAAAGGGGAGAGGGGGTTAAGGAGAGACTTGCACCTCCTGCTTCTTTGGCAAACTTAGTGACCCCAAATCCTCTCCACTGTACCATAAATTCTGCTGCCCATGACTGCCAGAATGTCTTTCTGTACTAGTAAAGTTCTTGTTAAAATCTCATTTTCTGAGTTATTTCTATCTCATTGAAAGTGGTTTTGCAACTAATTTAGTGACAACTCTGGCAATTACCTTTCAGTACAGCAACCAGGGGTGAACTATTCTGTATCTACAAACTTGTATTAATTGAGCCAGCATTGACTTACCAAATGGATAGCACCCATGATAATTAAATTCCTTGGGCTCAGGATATGCTATCCAAATATTCTCAGTTTCCAAACTTTATAAACTTGAATTTTATCTAGTTCTTGGTGTGCTTATCCTGCATGTTATAGCCACATTTTTATGATTGCAAAATGTATGTCTTTTTCTCATGGCATTATTCATTGCCATAATCTCTAGGGCCAGCTTATAGCAGTGTTTACTGAGCATTCTGCTCAGTTTAGTAACACTGGACAGAAATATCTGTTAGGGGAGTTGTTTCCACCTGTGACATGTCATAGTTCTCGGAATATTGTTAAGTCACTGGAAGAGCCAAGGGAAACAGAATGTTTAGACTTCAGAGAACCATAGTACCTGGTTGACTTAAACGCCGTATCTGCCTTCTCTCTTATATAATCGTCTTTCATTTTTTTCCCATGCCCTTTCCTCCCCTCTCTGTCTCCCTTTCCTTCTCCCTCCTCCCTTTCCTTTTGCTGTACATAGTGTGGCAAACCTGCCTCCAGAGAACCAATTCTGCACAGTAGAGCGCCGCAATGAGAGGGCAACAGCAGCTGCAGTGATCCTGAGCGTGAGTGCTTTAGAGTAAGGCAGAGGTTTTCAACCATTTTGGGTCCACGGTTCCCTTGACCAACTAAATTCTTTCTCTGGCAACCCCTGTGGGGTTCAGGAGCCCAGTTATGTCACCCCTTGCCTGCAGAGCTGGCAGCCCCTCACCCCTTTTCAAACCCTCCCTTGTAGAGTGTTCCCTCAACCTCCTCTCTTCTCCCTTCTCCTTGGGAGTCCTCTGGCAGCCGCAGCTGCTGCCCCTGGTCTCTGAGCTGCACCCCCTGCCCCAAATAAAGGTGCCTCCTCACTGTGCCCCACAGGGGCCTGGGAAGCAACCCCTGGCCAGCCCCTGAGGCACCATGCGCCTGGGAAGCTTGTAGCTAGGGCTGCTGCAACAAACAGCTGTGCAAGCCTTTGGGAGGCAGATGCAATAGGGTATCAGAGGAGGGAGGGAAGGAAAGAGGGACAGAGGCCAGTGTTCGCCCTTGGCACCCCTGACCCTCATTCAAGGCACCACAGGGTGTCACGGCGCACTGGTTGAAAACCACTGGATTAAGGAGCACAGAAAAGCAAATTGGAACAATTAACGAGTTGCAGAGGTTCCAGCACCCATTAACAAACTATGACCCTTATTGCGTGGAACTGAACTAAGGCGCAGGAGAATGGATCGATAGTTTCTTTTTCCATAGTTGCTTGAAGTGGAGAAAATATTTTTGGTTAAACATTTTACATTTCTAAATTATCTTAGTATCACAGCATTGTGGCTCTGAGTTAGAGAAGCATGAGATCAGCAGAAGGTTGGTACACCACCGAGAAGCAGTGACTAACTGCTGCTATACTATATACTATATACTATAGTATACTGTAGTATACTATATATACTATATACTATACCCACTTTCCTGGGAACGAGCATCATTGAACTCTGGAACTTACATATGAGTAGCATATATAGGACTGCCCTGCAATTGTTCGTAGGTTACCATATGGTAATCCCATGGAATACTACGTGGGTAACTCACGGAGTAAAGTCATAGGATTGTACATGGGCTATTAAGTTTTTGTTTCAGTTCTATGTGGAGAAACCTGCTTTCACATGTATTTTTGTTTACTGGGTCATGTACACAAAAGTACATTTTATAACACCTAATTGTTTGAGTTTCAGTTAATAAAGGAATATCTTAAGATCACTTTACCTAAACAGGAGTCTTGGACATGGCAGTTATTTTAGTTCTGAACTCTTTGTCAATCTGAATATTTCTTGCCAACGAGCTAATGTTTCATTTCAAAATAATGCCAGACAGGGTTTTATTTTTCATTTTTCACTGTGTTTCATTTTAAATAAGCAAAGACCTTACAAATACGTATTAATATTAATGAAAGTTAAGTAAAAGCTAGGAAATAATACCTTCAGCACATTATATTACATTAATACATCTAACAACAAAAAGTAACCAAAATCATTACTTCTATATCCCTGTATGTTTTTCTGTTATTTACTAAATAGCCACTCTTTTTACCTACAAAATAAAGAGTTAATTATATCAGACATGGATTTACCTTAGCATTCATCAGCTGTCATTTATGGAACCTGGGGGATGCAATTTGATATTTGTTCTTTGGTCTCAAAGGCCTTGTCACAGTATGGCTGTATTTTCAGCACTTCCAGTCACTTAGCCTGAGCCATGTAAATGTCAGTTCAAACTTAAGGCAGGGATTATAAAACATACAGGAAGGTCTGCTTTTTATCTTCTTAGGCAGACAAGTGCTTGAAGAAGTCTGAGCCATAATACGCCCTCTTGACTCTTGCCCTTGTTGGCTATCGAATAGTAAGTCATTGGACATTGGCTAGCCTTATTAGCATGGTAGAAAGAGCAACTTTGTCTTTCCCCTTCTTTGACAGAGGCAAACACATTTTAGAAAACCCTTCTGACCTAGTTAATGATTTGACATTTTCAAATATGCCTGGGGATGGGCATAGTATTCAAATTGATGGTGGCTGATGAACTGAATACACTTTTAAATGAAACTAATAATGTGGATCCATTTCAGAATGGTTTCAGACCCAGTTTTGATCCTGAGACTTCTTGGTTGCCAATCCATGCTAGAGAGAAGAGGGTAGATTTTGCAAGGCGCCTTAAAAAATAATAATGCAGGTGAACAAAACTTGGGAGTGCCACAATCTGGGGCTACCACATAAAAAGCCCTGTTAGGGACAAGTATCAGGGAGCTGGGACTGCAGAAAAGTAGGCTGAACTTTACATTCTGGTAAGGCTTCCCCCTTCAGTTGCTGGTGAATATGGATTGCATGTCAAATAAGTATCTGAACTAGAACAACTGCCCTCTGTGGCCACGATCCAGATATTGCTTTAAGAACACAGTTAATTTATGGTCGTTCTGGCTTTTCCACAGATTTACCCCTATGCCATCAGTTTAGATTTGAAAATTTTGGTAAAAATTGCTCAACATGATCCCTATATGCTTGGTAGGTAAAGGTAAAGGTAGAGGGACCCCTGACCATTAGGTCCAGTCGTGACCGACTCTGGGGTTGCGGTGCTCATCTTGCTTTATTGGCCGAGGGAGCCGGCGTACAGCTTCCGGGTCATGTGGCCAACATGACTAAGCCGCTTCTGGCGAACCAGAGCTGCGCACAGAAACGCCGTTTACCTTCCCACCGGAGCGGTACCTATTTATCTACTTGCGCTTTGGTGTGCTTTCGAACTGCTAGGTTGGCAGGAGCAGGGACCGAGCAACGGGAGCTCACCCCGTCGCGGGGATTCGAACCGCCGACTTTCTGATCGGCAAGTCCTAGGCTCTATGGTTTAACCCCCAGCGCCACCCGCTTGGTGGCAAGATAAATTGCCATCCAGGCAGCCTGGGCAACTCATTCGCCACCTTTAACCCCAATGCATCCAGGAACCCAACAAAACGATAATTTGATAATCTAGGGAATGAAGAGTGTCCAGCTTGGAAAAGCTGGCAGGAAGCAGTAGAAATGAGCTGAAGCTGAACAAGTCTAAAACTAGCAATGAACCACAGGAATCCCTGCAAACACCACAGATTACCCAAAGCCAGGAATTCAAGGCTTGTGAGATTGTGAAAAAGTTCCTAAGTAAACAGATGATTCAGTTGAGAGCATTCTTGCTGTAGCTTGGTGCCAGTGTCTGGATGTTGTTCTCATATTATTGAGACTTAAAGGCATCACTAAAAATTGCCGCATAACAGTTGTGTAATGAACAATGTTGGTGGTGTTATAGTTGCTGATACCATTTGAGGGATATCACAGCCATGGTCATTGGCAAGTAAATGGCAAGTCCCTAGGATGAAATGACTTTTTATGTTCACTCTCTTATAAATGGTATATTAGCCTGACTTAGAAACAAGCCTTCTCTGTAAGCAGTGACACAGATGCAACAGATACAGCCCTTCTCTTTGGAATATCCTCTTCCCACATATTGTGCATGTCCTTGACATTGCTTATGGTTTGATGCTGATTTTATTTAGCTAGATTGTGTATTTTAATCTTTATTTGATTTTTATATGTCTTTAACATTTTAGTGTTGGAATTTGATTGGGTGAACTGCTTCAGGGTTCCTTGAATGGGAGGCAGTCTACATTGTTTTAATAAATAAAAAATCAGAGCTGCTTTCTCTCTGCCCGCATTGCATTTGCTGTGAGGATAAATTACAAGATGTATAAATTGTTTGGCAGAATTGAATAGAAGTACCGTATTTTTCGCTCTATAACACGCACCTGACCATAACACGCACGTAGTTTTTAGAGGAGGAAAGCAAGAAAAAAATATTCTAAACAAAACAGTGGATGTATGATTTTTGTGGTTCATGCTGTGGCCACAAACGTGATCTGACGGTGAGTTGGGGGTAGCCCAATGCAAAAATCCTGTGGATCCATGTGGATCCATGCTTTGTAACCACGTTTTTGCGCCATTGCAGCCCCATGAAACAGTGGGTGCGTGATTTTTTTGGTGCAGGCTGTAGCCATGGACATTTTATGTGATCTGATGGTGAACCTGGGGTGACCCAGTGCAAAAATCCTGAGGATCCATGTGGATCCGTGCTTTGTAACCACGTTTTAAGTAGGGAGTGAAGGAAAAGCATTCAAGGGACAAGGAGCATGCGTGGGGTGTGTAGAGAAGGATGTGGCTAATGATGCAGGCGAGCGGTTAAAGGGGAGAAGGAACACGCGTGGGGTGGGTGGAGAAGGATGTGGCTAATGATGCAGGAGAGGGATTTAAGGGGAGAAGGAACACGCGTGGGGTGTGTAGAGAAGGATGTGGCTAATGATGCAGGCGAGCGGTTAAAGGGGAGAAGGAACACGCGTGGGGTGGGTGGAGAAGGATGTGGCTAATGATGCAGGAGAGGGATTTAAGGGGAGAAGGAACACGCGTGGGGTGTGTAGAGAAGGATGTGGCTAATGATGCAGGAGAGGGATTTAAGGGGAGAAGGAACACGCGTGGGGTGGGTGGAGAAGGATGTGGCTAATGATGCAGGAGAGGGATTTAAGGGGAGAAGGAACACGCGTGGGGTGTGTAGAGAAGGATGAGGCTAATGATGCAGGCGAGCGGTTAAAGGGGAGAAGGAACACGCGTGGGGTGGGTGGAGAAGGATGTGGCTAATGATGCAGGAGAGGGATTTAAGGGGAGAAGGAACACGCGTGGGGTGTGTAGAGAAGGATGTGGCTAATGATGCAGGAGAGGGATTTAAGGGGAGAAGGAACACGCGTGGGGTGTGTAGAGAAGGATGTGGCTAATGATGCAGGAGAGGGATTTAAGGGGAGAAGGAACACGCATGGGGTGTGTAGAGAAGCATGTGGCTAATGATGCAGGAGAGGGATTTAAGGGGAGAAGGAACACGCGTGGGGTGTGTGGAGAAGGATGTGGCTAATGATGCAGGAGAGGGATTTAAGGGGAGAAGGAACACGCGTGGGGTGGGTGGAGAAGGATGTGGCTAATGATGCAGGAGAGGGATTTAAGGGGAGAAGGAACACGCGTGGGGTGTTAGAGAAGGATGTGGCTAATGATGCAGGAGAGGGATTTAAGGGGAGAAGGAACACGCGTGGGGTGTGTGGAAAAGGAGCTTTTCGGCGAGCTGAGAGGGGAGGGGGGAGGGAAAGAGCACTGTTGCTTTAAAGGAGCCAACCAGACAGCAGCCACTTACAGCAGTGTAAGCAGCTCCTTTCCTCTCCCACTTTGCTCCTTCTCTCCCTCTTTGCTGCTTTACGCAGCTAATGGCGAATCCCCTGCAACCCAAGTCCTGCTCAGCGGATCAGCTGAGACGCTGGGAGAATCGTAATTTCCCTCTCTCCCTCATCCCGTGCCCTCCTGTCCCCAGCAGCCTTTTTAAAAACTTTTTTACTGGTTTTCACTGCGCTCGTGGCTCAGAGCCCTCCTGTGCCCTGCCGTCCCTCTGCAGCCTCATTGCTCCGTTTAGAGCGTTGCTAGCTGAGGCTGCAGCAGCTGTTGCTGGCTACGCGGCGCTTTTCCGGCTCCCTATGGCTCCCGTCTGTCCCTCCTCGCGTGTAAGCGGCTGCTGCCCGCTTTGCTGCCATGGCTCTCATTCCCTCCCTCCCTCCTCGGCTCCTCCCCCTCCTCCTGGCTGTAAAGCAAGCAAAGCTAGAGCAGTGCAAAGCCCTGCAAGCGGCTCCCGCTTTGCTTGACTGACGGCAGCCATGGATCCAGTCGAGTGCATTCGCTCCTTAACACGCACAGGCATTTTCCCTTACTTTCTAGGAGCAAAAAAGTGCGTGTTTTGGAGCGAAAATTACGGTAGTTTTATATTAACTGTGTTACTCTTAATACTTCTACGCTCTGACATAGATAGATACATTAAATCAGTGCTTTTTTCTGTGGGGTATGCACACCCCTAAACATTTTGTGAATCTAAGTTTGGCCCTATTGAGGGGCAGTTTTTCAATGTGAGTAGGAAAATGGGAGTACCCCCAAACATTTTTATAGGGGGGGGAAGCACTGCATTAAATAGTATAATTTATGCATCTACCCATGTCACAGTATAGATAATAATTTATTTTTCTTCATATTTAAAACAAACAAACTCTAATTGTAAGAAATAAGGTTTGTTCTGCTTGGAGCCAAACAGCAGCATCCTTTTCGACCTTACCTGTTTTCAAAATGATGCCCTAGAGAATATGGAGTCAGTCAGATTACCTGCCTTCTGTTGTCTGGGATATCACTCTGGGTGATCTTTGATAAGTATTTGCTAAATGTATTTTATCTTGCAAAATTGATTTATTAATTACAGTGGTGCCTCGCAAGATGAAATTAATCCGTTCCGCGAGTCTCTTCGTCTTGCGGTTTTTCGTCTATTAGCGGCTTAGCGGCTTTAAGAAAAAGGAAACAAACTCGCAAGAACTCGCAAGACGTTTCGTCTTGCGAAGCAAGCCCATAGGGAAATTCGTCTTGCGGAACGACTCAAAAAACGGAAAACCCTTTCGTCTAGCGAGTTTTTCGTCTTGCGAGGCATTCGTCTTGCGGGGCACCACTGTATTATTATTATTATTTATCATCATCATTATTAATTTAATTTATTACCAGCTGTTCACCCTAAGGTCGCAATGCAAATTACAATAATTTAAAATGCCACATTAAAAGCACTTTATCTTGATCACTGGTGGGCATCTAGAGTTTGTTGTTGTTTAGTCGTTTAGTCGTGTCTGACTCTTTGTGACCCCATCGACCAGAGCACACCAGGCACTCCTGTCTCCCACTGCCTCCCACAGTTTGGTCAAATTCATGCTGGTAGCTTCGAGAACACTGTCCAACCATCTCATCCTCTGTCGTCCCCTTCTCCTTGTGCCCTCCATCTTTCCCAACATCAGGGTCTTTTCCAGGGAGTCTTCTCTTCTCATGAGGTGGCCAAAGTCCTGGAGCCTCAGCTTCAGGATCTGTCCTTCCAGTGAGCACTCAGGGCTGATTTCCTTCAGATTGGATAGGTTTGATCTTCTTGCAGTCCATGGGACTCTCAAGAGTCTCCTCCAGCACCATAATTCAAAAGCATCAATTCTTTGGCGATCAGCCTTCTTTATGGTCCAGCTCTCACTTCCATACATCACTACTGGGAAAACCATAGCTTTAACTATACAGACCTTTGTTGGCAAGGTGATGTCCCTGCTTTTTGAGATGCTGTCTAGGTTTGCCATTGCTTTTCTCCCAAGCAGCAGGCCTCATTCCATGTTGGCATCAAAGAAGGGGAAAGGGGGGTGGCAGAGACAAAGGGGGTGGAGGGGTAGCAGAAACAGAGAGCAAAGGGCTATCTCGCTCACTTTTGGCTCCAGCCCCACCCACCACCAGCCTGAATGCTAGGGATAGATTCTCCCCATGGGAATGTGGCCCTCAAGAGGCCCCCCTCCTCTAATCTTGATAGTTCACCCCGTTCCTTAAAGTGTTAGCCCAGACAGCCATTAGACTTGCAATCTCATTTAGGAAATTAAGTTTGGCCCTTTGCTAACCTGACATCAACATATTATGTATGTTTCCGAGCACGATTCAAAGTGTTGGTGCTGACCTTTAAAGCCCTAAACGGCCTCGGTCCTGTATACCTGAAGGAGCGTCTCCACCCCCATCGTTCAGCCCGGACACTGAGATCCAGCGCCGAGGGCCTTCTGGCGGTTCCCTCATTGCGAGAAGCCAAGTTACAGGGAACCAGGCAGAGGGCCTTCTCGGTAGTGGCACCCGCCCTGTGGAACGCCCTCCCATCAGATGTCAAAGAGATAAATAATTACCTGACATTCAGAAGACATCTTAAAGCAGCCCTGTTCAGGGAAGTTATTAATATGTAACGCTGTACTGTTTTTAACACTGATTGGGAGCCGCCCAGAGTGGCTGGGGAAACTCAGCCAGATGGGCAGGCTATAAATAATAAATTATTATTATTATTATTATTATTATTATTATTATTATTATTATTATTATTAAAGAAGGTTTAGATCTAGAGTTAATTGATTTTACTGCCCATTGGGAACCAGCTAAATAGTGGCTCAGGAAATCACAGGGTTTTTTTAAGGTCAGCATATATATACCCGTGAAAATCTACGAAAGCAAATATATATATATATATATATGCTGTAGGTTGTGTCTACTGAGTCTTTTGGCCTCAAGTTGCAACTTGTGGATTTACAGGCCAGAGCTGATTCCTGGAACTGACCTGAATCCTGTAATTATGCACCTTGTAACTTCTTTCAAAAACAAGATTACTATTTTCAGATAAGGCAGTAATGTGCTTGTGCTTTCCCTGCTTTGTGCTTTAGTGTCTGTATGCATCTGTGAAAGACTGCAACCTCATATTTTTCTTTTAAACGGGTTTTGATTTGCGCTCCATCTCTAAGCCTTAAAATACCACTAAACACCCTAGCAATATTGCTATATTTTAGGCTGGGCTTCCTTTCTGGTTTAAATAGGAATCTGGTGGCTAGCTTCCAAAAGTTTAAAGGATAATATCAGCTTCCTGGTTTGGGAGCTGTTTTGCATCCCATCGTAATCAGATGCTGACTATGAAGGGGAGAGAATTCCCTAAGATCAACACCTGCTTTGTGACAGTCTGTTTTGTCTGTAGGTTTTCCTGAAGTACTGCCATGTACGAAGCAAAAGAAAGACAGAAGTTTATCAGTGATGCTCAGTACCTGAGAGAGATGCAGCACAAGATGGATTCAGAGTATCAGGTAGGGCCGTTTATCCACCGTGTTGCCATTTCCAGGAAGAACATAAATACAAAGCTACGAGGGATAAGGCTAACTTCATCAGGTGCACCATCATTTAAGTCCAGGGCCGGATTTAGGTTTGATGAGGCCCTTAGCTACTGAAGGTAATGGGGCCCTATATATGTCCAGCTGTCCTTTGGTTTTGGAACAGACTTTCGGAACAGATTAAGTTTGAGAACCAAGGTACCACTGTATATAAAGGTAAAGGTAAAGGGACCCCTGACCATTAGGTGCAGTCGTTGCCGACTCTGGGGTTGCGGCACTCATCTCGCTTTATTGGCTGAGGGAGCTTCCGGGTCGTGTGGCCAGCATGACAAAGCCACTTCTGGCGAACCAGAGCAGCACATGGAAACGCCGTTTACCTTCCCGCCGGAGCGGTACCTATTTATCTACTTGCACTTTGACATGCTTTTGAACTGCTAGGTTGGCAGGAGCAGGGACCTAGCAAGGAGCTCACCCTGTCGCGGGGATTCGAACTGCCAACCTTCTGATTGGCAAGTCCTAGGCTCTGTGGTTTAACCCACTGCGCCACCCACGTCCCATACCACTGTATATAGAAAAGAGCAAATTAGTGATATTTTAGGGAGCAGGCTAGCAGGCAGGGCCCATTGCTTACATCATAGGAGCCTACACAACACAATACACTGTTGCTGTATGTAGGTTTTATTTTATTTATTTTTTATCTCATATTTTGTAAATGTACATCCAAGTTTTTCCCCCTTTAATTTTTTGGGGGGCCCCAAGAGAGTGGGGCCCTAAGCTATAGCTTGTTTAGCTTATACGTAAATCCGGCACTGTTTTAAGTCCCTCACATAAACCTCTTTTCAGACAAAGTTGTGCTCGTTTCTTAGGCTTGCCTGAGAAAACAAGAACAGACTAAAGAGCAGTCTGAGAAGAAACGAGAGCAACACGCCAGACAAGAACTGAGACAGACAAATATATCGTCCATCTCTGCTGTGCGTACTTATGAAAGGCCATGGATTTCCAGAGTCCCCACTAATAGACAGGTAGCTGTTTGTTAATTTCAGAGATAAAAATCAAGTGCAAGAGAAGAGTAATCTGATAATGCCCCCTAGCCACTCCAGCGTTCAGGACTGCCTCAAACCATCTGGTTGTTAAACAAAGAACATATCAGGAAAAGGAGCTCAATGGGGGGGGGGGAATGGCTGCTAGGAATTTGTTATCTAATTTTCCCCCATGTAAGTATCTGTGACAAATATGATGCACTGTATAACATTTATATTTATCCTGGGGACTGGGTGATTATTCATATGCTTTCATCAAGCGTTTACTTTCTGGAGAAATACTTAATTAGCTTTTCTTTGCCTTCTGAACCAATATACCAGCATACAAATGTACATATCTATCTACGGTTTTATCTGCTCTTTGCAAAGCCTTTATTATTTCCTTAACATCTGCATTCATTATTTTTCAACGCATTCATTGTACAGTTTTGAAAATGAAATAGGCTAATTTTACACATTTGACTAATTTAATACAGGACCCCTCCGCTGACAGCAGAGTAAAAGTTAATCTATTCACACCGTGAAACCTTAAACAAGCCTATCTCGGCTTGAATGTGAGTGGAGGAAAGATCTGATCGAATTCAATTGAGCACTGGTGAGGGTTCATCATCGAGCCCACCTAGTGGCAGTGAAGGCAGCAAAGAAGGCATACTTTGCTGCTTCATTGCATCCTCACTATGCCATCCAGTAGAGCTTTTCCGGGTACAGTGGTACCTCGGGTTACAAATGCTTTGGGTTACACGTTTTCAGGTTGTGGACCGTGGGAAACCCGGAAGTACCAGAAAGGGTTACTTTCAGATTTCGCCGCTCGCGCATGCACAGAAGCTCTAAATCATGCTTCGCGCATGCGCAGAAGCACCAAATCGCATCACGTGCGTGCGCAGATGCAGTGCTGCAGGTTATGAACGCTGCGGGTTGTGGACGTGCCTCTGTCATGGATTACGTCCGCAACCCGAGGTTCCACTGTAGTGTGAAGCCCCTTACAGTCTGGCCCAAAGGAGGTGGTGGAACCAATGGTAGCTCACTGTGACTTGTTTGCAAATCATTTTGAGGACAAAATCACTTGCATCCACTGGGATCTTGACTCCGCTGTTATAGCAGATGAATCTCAAAGGGTGTCCAGAGCACTGTCTAGTCCTGTTGTGTTGGGTGAGTTTCAGTTAGTAAAGCTGGAAGATATGGACAAGCTGCTTGGATTGGTCAGGGTGACTACTTGCGCTCTGAACCCTTGCCCATCTTGGCTGATAAAAACTAGCAGGGAGGGGACAGCTGGTCCCCTCCCTGCTATCAATCACCAGGGCAGTGATTGATACCTCCTTGCCAGAGGGTGTGGTCCAACAACTCCTCAGGAAACCATGCCTGGACTCAGGCAATCTAAGTAACTACTGGCGAGTTGCTTATCTCCCTTTTGGGGCAAGGTTCTTGAGCAGGTGGTTGTGGACTAGATCCAGGTGCTCTTGGAGGAAACTGATATTTTAGATCCATTTCAATCCATTTCAATCAATCCAGTTAAGACTGAGACACTGTTAGTGGCTGGTTCCCTGGGCTAGATCGATTTGAGGTTGCCTCCTCTTGATAGGGTTACACTCCCTCTGAAGGAGCGGGTATGTAGCTTGCAAGTACTCCTGGATTCGTTGCTGTTGCTTGAGGCTTAGGTGGCCTTGAGGCTTAGGTGGTGGATCTTCTGCGCCTCCATCTGGACAGGGATAGCCTAATTACTGTTGCCTATACTCTAGGTAACCTCCAGGTTAGATTACTGCAAAGCTTTGTGTGTAGGTCTGCCTCTGAAAATGGTTCAGAAACTTCAGCTGGGGCAGAATTTGGCAGCCAGGTTCCTCACCAGGGCAAGATGGTTTGAACATATTACACTGATCCTGGACCGACTGCATTGGCTGCCAATTAGCTACCAGGCCCAATTCAGAGTGCTGGTTTTGACCTATAAAGCCTTAAACTGATAACCTCAGATGAACGACAGTGTAGATTTTTAAATAATAATAATAATGTTATCCATTGGCATTTGCACTTTCTTAATGATCTGGTACAGTTCTCAGCTCTAAAGGATAGCAAAATACACATTTAAAAGTGTGTTTTGAGATAAAATTTATTTAGTGCAGATGATGTGGATCTGGTCAGATCTTACTGGAATTCACAAAAAATAAATTATTCAGGCATCTCTAGTACAGAGTACTACTCACTACTAAGTAGCCACAATAAGCTCCTAGACATTGAAGGCTAAATAAGAGGCTTCTTCTACTGGGATGTAGCTTTTGCATTGGTAAAGAAGATTCTGTTAATAAATTAACTAATTTTCGCCTTGGCAGACCTCCTCCGAAGAATCTTCTGGATGTGAACTGAAATCTGCTATTAAGCCTCTTGGGAACAAAGGAGAAGCTAAATTTCCTGCCATTGACAAAACATCTGTTAAGCAGAAGCAGAAATCAAGCACATGCGCCAAAAAAACTGAAAAAAGTGGACCTGGCCCCAAAAAAGATTTTTCAGGTGCGTATGGAGAAAGTTCTCAGCTATTCACTGAAAGAAATGGATGTGTGGAGCTGGAGCCAGTGATGTTCACAAGCTCAAGGGGTCCTAGAGAGGACATAAGATATTTGAAGGCTTCTAGGTGAGCAGGCAGGGAACGCGGGTGGCGCTGTGGGTTAAACCACAGAGCCTAGGACTTGCCGATCAGAAGGTCGGCGGTTCGAATCCCCGCGGCGGGGTGAGCTTCCATTGCTCGGTCCCTGCTCCTGCCAACCTAGCAGTTTGAAAGCAAAGTGCAAGTAGATAAGTAGGTACCGCTCTGGCGGGAAGGTAAACGGCGTTTCCGCGCGCTGCTCTGGTTCGCCAGAAGCGGCTTAGTCATGCTGGCCACATGACCCGGAAGCTGTATGCCGGCTCCCTCGGCCAATAAAGCGAGATGAGCACCGCAACCCCAGAGTTGGCCATGACTGGACCTAATGGTCAGGGGTCCCTTTACCTTTACCTTTACCTAGGTGAGCAGGCAAGGATTGGAGTCAAAAGAGTCAAATCCAATAAGGCAGCCAAACCCAGCTCAGTACAGATGTTACAGAGGTGCTCTTGCTGACAGATGCATCTGACCTGGAAGATTTTGTTCAACCTGCTGTAGGCAGGGTTAAGCTCCCTCTGAAGGAGGAGGTTTGCAGTCTGGAGATGCTGTTAGATCTGTCTTTGGATTCCTTGGCGGAACCTTAAATGCAAAGCCCCTTTCATCATCTGAGGCTATTGCGCCAGTGGCAACCTCTCCTGCACAGAGATAACTGGGGCACAGCTAACCATCCCCTGGGGACGCTTGATAAGGACTGCTGGAGTACATTACGCAGGGCGTTGCTTCTGACAAATGTTCAGAAACAACAAATACTTCAAAACACGGTGATTGGATTGCTAACTGGGAACCAGGAGTGGTAAATTTATGTATGCCACCTCCCAGTGGATTTCCAAGCGCAAATCAAAGTTTGGTTTCAACTTCTGCCCCAAAACAGTTTGAGTCCCCTTTGGGATGGCCTTCTGCCACATGAACTTGCCTAAGTATTATGCTCATCCTCAGGGATTCTTCTCTACTCCCCCATCATCACTACCAGAAGTTAGGTAGGTGATCGCTAGAGATGGGACCTTTTAATTGCAGTGTCCAATTTTTAGAACTCCCTCACAAGGGAGGATTGCCTGGTGTCAAGCCTTATTTATTTTTTAGTGTCTTTAAATCCACCCAGGTCTTTTAGATTGATCAGTTTGTTTGTTTTAAGGCTGGAATAGTATTGATTTTTCCTGCTGTGCTGTTTGACATAAGTGTTTCATTTCATTGTGTAATTGTGATTAGGGATGGGGTGGTAATTTGAAGCAGTGGAACTTGACTGTGTTACAGAGAGTGAACACAGTTGAGGTGACAAAATAAAAAAAATCCTTCCAGTAGCACCTTAGAGACCAACTAAGTTTGTTATTGGTATGAGCTTTTGTGTGCATGCACACTTCTTCATACAGATATCTGAAGAAGTGAGCATGCACACGAAAGCTCATACCAATAACAAACTTAGTTGGTCTCTAAGGTGCTACTCTGGGACGCGGGTGGTGCTGTGGGTTAAACCACAGAGCCTAGGACTTGCCGATCAGAAGACCGGCGGTTCGAATCCCCGCGACAGGGTGAGCTCCCGTTGCTCAGTCCCTGCTCCTGCCAACCTAGCAGTTCGAAAGCACGTCAAAGTGCAAGTAGATAAATAGGTACCGCTCCGGCGGGAAGGTAAACGGCGTTTCCGTGCACTGCTCTGGTTCGCCAGAAGCGGCTCAGTTATGCTGGCCACATGACCTGGAAGCTGTACGCCGGCTCCCTCAGCCAATAAAGCGAAATGAGCGCCACAACCCCAGAGTCGGTCGCGACTGGACCTAATGGTCAGGGGTCCCTTTACCTTTAAGGTGCTACTGGAAGGAATTTTTTTATTTTGTTTCGACTATGGCATACCAACATGGCTACCTACCTGTAACTAGAACAATTGAGGTGGACAGCCTATCTCAAACAAGCTTTTTTCAACTGTGCTCACACACTGCCCCTGCCTTACATTCTGCTGCCTTCCACCCCCTTACCTTAGAGAAAGAGTATCTCACCTTGGGGAAGAGGTAACAAAAAAGAATAGCTATGAAACATACCCTATTCTTCTACATGCCCCCACTCACCTTGCCGCTCTGTTTTAGCATTACCATGCAGGGAGGAAATAAAAACCCAGGATTTAGAAAGCACAGTTGGTTTAAGAGAACAGTTTCAAGCCCTTACAAATTCACTCATAGAAAGTGAAGTTTTACACATAGAAAGTGCAAGCTAAGACATGTACTCCCTGTGCTGTGCCCCATGGGCAAATGTTATGCAGTCTCATATATTGTGCTCTCTTACAACTTAGTCTCCATGGACCCACGATTCATAAGGCAGAGGTTCCTTAAAAAAAATATTTGCATAAAACAATGTTTATCAGCTTTCCAGAAGCCAATTTTATCAAGAAGACAGCGATTGAACCAGAGAAGTTTTCTGGAAAACACAGACACTGAGAATATGAAAAGAGTGGAAGGAAGAGGGAGGAAAACACCAGTGCTGCACGGAATAGCAAAGACTACCAAGAGTGCTGGTGAGAAACTCTTTTTCCGCGTTGCGTTAAGTTTATACCTCCTGTTTATAGAAGTCATCCCTGGTCCAGAGCTCCATCTTTGTTTCACGGCATATGTGGAACTATTATGTGAGCGAGTTCTCACCTGATTGAAGCTGAAGTTGTTTAGATTGAATTCAAAGGAGGGTTTGGTTTGAACATCAAAGCTGCTGCACCTTGATGTTGGCCTTTTGTTGAAGTGGTTTGAGAGATCACAGCTCAGCTGGTCGAAAAGTGTGCATGGAGCGCCAGCGATACAAAGGCCTCGTCTGTGGACAGGGAAAGGCTCCATGCATGCAGTGGGGATCTACCATGTATGTAGAGAAGAGAACAAGAAATGGGGCTTAGCTTGTTCTCACTGCCATGTGTGTGCATGTCTGTATACACAAACACACACATGCAGATACTTAAAATGATTAATGGGCAAGCAGCTGCTATTAGAAGCTGCTAAAACAAGTGAAGCAGACTTCTACCACCCCCCTTTGTTGGCCCCCTTTTGTACAGTTCCCAAAATACTGATTCTGGATTAGAGCTAATAAAAATAAGGCATCATTGTTTTGTATCAACAACAACAACAACAACAATAATAATATTTATTTATACCCTGCCCTCCCCGACTGAGATCAGGCTCAGGGCGGCTAACACCAAATATGTAAAATACATTGAAAACACAAAATCAAACGATTAGTTTAAAATACAATTCGAAACACATTTAAAATCAAAATAAAATTAAGTGGGAGCCCACGAATCATAACCGTAGGGGTAAGGAATTAAAATTTCACCAGGCCCGGCCACTTGTGCTGGTCCCATATGGGCCGATAGAAATAGCCAAAGAGGCCACTTACATGCAGTGCCCCATAGAGAGACACTGTACACAAATGTTTTTGCAAGAGGCAAACAGAAAGGTTTCTTTTAAGGCAATACAGCGAGTTCATGGTGAAGAAGGGAACTGAAGTTGTGTCTTTTCAAGCATAGTCCATTGGACTATACTGAATCTAAAAACAACAGCAAACCACACAGGTGTCTTTTTTCAATGAGCCTTACAGGGTTTGGATAAATCACTGGAAAAGTCTTCTTCTCCGAAGAGCACTCCACTTCTTTCATTAGGGAGATTCAAAGAAAAGATAGGTCCTCTCTCTCATTTTGCAGGAAGCCCCAGTTTGCCAAAAGGCTAAAAGGAAGCCTCACTCCATTTCCAGATACCACATCTACAAATTTAAGGGGCAGTATAACCATTTTTAAAGAAATTGTTTGGGGTGGGGGGCTTAAGGGGAGGAGCCATGCAGTCCCCAGGTGGATCTGGGGAATATAATTGCCACTGGTGGTTCTTGTGTGATCGGTTTGCGGACATGACTAAAACTGAATAAAGTGCTTTGGCAAAGAAATTCTGAAAGCAACTCTTGCTCTCAATGCAGACTCGCAAGATGTCACAGCACAAAGAAGCGGCCCTGTTCTCAAGAGTAAAAGAAAACTCCAGAAAAGAGGACCTTAATCCAGACCTCTAAACTAAACATAGACAGCAAAAGCCTAGACAGGGATCTCAAAAAAGGAAGTGTTCTAACAGCAGCTCAGCAGCCCCCAACTACCGTAATGGATTCTACTGTTCAGGTTGCTAATGGTCCTTTGTTATCGAGTGAGCCAAGCAACTCCAACCTTCCCCCCATTAAAAATACTCCCATAAGGCCCAGAGAAGACGATTTTTATGCATTGTTGTGTGCAAATGTGGAAGGTTCTACCGAAGAGATTGATGATGCTGAAGACGTTAACGAGTTAGAAGAAGAGTTTCTTTCCTATGATATCAGCAAGACTCCTCCTCCTGATCAGAGCAACAGAGTCAGTGGGATGCCCGTCGCACAGGCCGAGCAGCCGAACTGTGATATGGGAGTCGGGGGTGACGTTAGGCGGGCTGAGCTTTCCCACAGATTGCCACGGCAACACAGTGGAGCAGTGGAGGCAGCAGCTGAACAACCTTCAGCGGGCCAAAGGAAGACCAGAGACCAAAGGAACCCTCATGCTCTTGAAGAAAACAACCTTTCGGAAGAGGCCCACAAAAACGAAGGTGAGAATTCCAAAAGCCCACATGCTGAAAGCAGACCCAGAAGCGCAGCAGCCAATGAGACCACTGGCAATTTAAGTTCTACCGAAGACTGGTCAGGGAACAATGGCTGTGGTAGAGAGAGACAAGGTTTTGAGGGCAATCAAAGATGTTACACTGGACTCATTAGTTCAGCTAGGCCAGCAGTTCAGAGGCCTCCTATGCGTTCCACATTTAATATCCCAGGATCCTTAGCACAACCTATAAACAGAACTGAAACGACAAGCAATGTGGATGCTGCTGCAGCTTCTATGCAAACCACAGAGCTGAGTGGAAGCCCCAGGTTCACTGTTCGTAGACAGCTATCTCCTATAAGAATCAGGGAGTCCTTTTCAGCTACTGAAAGTTGTCAGTCTTCATCACCTACCATCAGCACCTTTGAGGACAGTAGCCTCCTGGAAGATAGTATAAGCAATGGTCTAAGCAGCCTTTCCCCAAGCACCACTTCTCACGATGAAGACAATTTTCTGAATTCCCACAGCTCCTCCTCATCCACAGATTCTTCCCATCCATCTCTTTTCCGGGCAAACTTCACAGCACATCTTCACATGGCTGGCCCTCTCCCCGATCAAGTACCAATTTTCTTGACGGTATCTGATTTGCGAAATCAGAGCAGTTTTGTGAGCAGTACAACCACTTGCAGTTCACCAAATATGAAGGAGATTAGTAAGCCCGAGACAGATCCCGAGAAACTAAAGAAGTTGCAAGAGAGGTAAGCAGTCTATAATTGGAGGGGCAGTTATGACAAATGTACTTTTTCAGTCTCAAGATGCGTCATTAGGAGGGGAATTTGCCACTGAAGTCCTTTGCCTGGTCTGAAGCCATTTTGAGGCAGTTAAAAACCTGTACTTAGTGCTAGAGTTCAACTCAGGAAACCTTGGAATGGGATAATGTCTATTTCTATTTATTTATTTTCCGCATTTATAAAATGCCATTCACCAGTAGCCCAAGGGCACGGCACCTACATAGATAAAACAATATAACATCAAAATATAAAACGTTTAAAATCGTGATTAAAACAGCATTTAACAGAAGGAGCAGACAAGCTTCCAACAGCACAGCCCCTGCAGCCCTATTCTTCTGCAAATGCCCAATTAAGAGGTCCATCTTTAGTTGCTGATTAAAGGACTATAGTGTCAGAACAACATGCACCTCTTACACCCACAGCCGGGGGGCCACTACCAAGAAGTCACTCTTATATGCCACTGTTGTGGTGGAATTGTAAGAAAGCCTCTCTTGCTGGTCATAATAACTGAGCAGATTGATACAGGAGGAGGCACTCTTTTAGATATTTGGGACCCAGGTTCTGTGGGACTTTATCATTCAGCACTGAATGGAGTAGGCCTCTCTAAACCGCTAGAGAATCACCAGCTAAGCTGGTGCCAATTACTAGCTTTCTTTTGGACCACATCAGTCTTGTCATCTGGTTAGCCCAGAACCTTCATACACACTGCCCAAGCTTCCCCCCCGGTGAGGTCACTTCGGTGCCACCAGCGCAGCACAAACAATGCGGGAGATAGCAGTTACAAGTTACGGGCCTCTTCAGCCACAGCAGGCGCTGTGAATCACAGTCCAGCAGCTGAACTGCCTTTCCTGATACAGATTAGAGTGTCATCAGTGACACCTCGCTCCAAATCATCTGATTATGCATGTCTCTCAGTGGTCTCACATAGGTAAGAAGAAAAAAATATGTGGATGTTTGTAATCTTCCGGCCTACATAGAATCATAGAATTGGCAGGTATATTACTTCTACAGTATTATACTAAGCTTTTCTAGGAAAAACAAAAAAAATTCCTTCCAGTAGCACCTTAAAGACCAACTAAGTTAGTTCTTGGTATGAGCTTTCAAGTGCATGCACACTTCTTCAGATAGGTATCTGAAGAAGTGTGCATGCACACGAAAGCTCATACCAAGAACTAACTTAGTTGGTCTTTAAGGTGCTACTGGAAGGAATTTTTTTTGTTTTGACTATGGCAGACCAACACGGCTACCTATCTGTAACTTTTCTAGCAAGTTACATTTCAATCTAAATTGAAATAGATCACAAACAGAAAGAGCTACCTGTGTGGCAGATCAGAGGTGGGGTAAGGCAGTGATAGGAAGAAACTCACGTTAGAGATGGCCTTAGAAGTGTTGCTGTGATATTCCTTAATTGATGCGGCATCTAGCAATAGGGGAACACCCTCCCTTGCCTCAGTTATGCATATCCATTGAACTGAGTATACCGTATTTTTCGCTCTATAAGACGCACCAGACCACAAGACGCACCTAGTTTTTGGAGGAGGAAAACAAGAAAAAAATATTCTGAATCTCAGAAACCAGAACAGCAAGAGGGATCGCTGCACAGTGAAAGCAGCAATCCCTCTTGCTGTTCTGGCTTCAGGGATAGCTGCACAGCCTGCATTCACTCCATAAGACGCACACATATTTCCCCTTACTTTTTAGGAGGGAAAAAGTGAGTTTTTGGCCTACAACTCCCATGATCCCTAGCTAGCAGGACCAGTGGTCAGGGATGATGGGAATTGTAGTCTCAAAACATCTGGAGGGGCGAGGTTGAGGAAGCCTGGTTTAGTAGGACCATCTCACCCACCTGTGAGAGGGGAATTTAGAAGGAATCCTTTTGCTTTCTCCCCCCCCCACCCCAATCCATAATTTTTTACTTTTCAAATACATTACAAGCATGCCCTATTGAAGGTCATTCCTCCAGACCACTGTTTTTGAATTATGGAACCTCTGCTGTATCTCCAGTCTCCTAGCAGAAGACTCTGAAGAGGAGGGAGATCAGTGTCGGATATGTCAGATTGCTGGGGGATCCATAACCAACCCACTGCTGGAACCGTGCGGGTGTGGCGGGACTCTTCGATTTGTCCATCAGGAATGTCTAAAGACCTGGTTAAAGGCTAAGATCAAATCAGGTGAGTTTGCAAGTTTAAGCAAAGAAAGAACATTAGCATGTAATTTAGTTTAAAATTCCATCATGGCCCAGGCACACTGTATGTACTGTCTGCCGACATCAGAGCAAAACTAGATTTAGAAATGCTTGACTGTTCCCTTTCTATTCTGGCAACAATCAAAACTAGCAGAAATATGACTTGCTCAGTCTTGAACTAGGCTGCTCATCAGGCGCTGCATACATGTCTGGGGAAACCTCCTTATAACTCCCACTAAGAGAGGGCTGAGAATACCTCAGCAAAAATGTTATGTGCTTTTATTCATACTGAGGTTGCAATCTTATACCCACTTACTTGGGAGTAAGCTCCATTAAACTCAGTAAGACTTTTCTTAGTAGACATGTCTAGGTTTGAGCTGTCAGAAAGATGTCTCAATAAGCATATCTAAACTCCACCAAAATCAGTAGGACAAAGGCCACAAATTTGGAATGTTTTATATGAAAGAAAAATGCATATAGCTGGACTTCTATAGGTTCAATTCACTTAAAACTATTTGGTTAAAACATATAGCGTTTTTCAACAGCAGAAAAGTTACCAGGGTGTTTTATGTGTTGCAAGATGGTTTACTAACATGCTTCAGTAAAATTATTTACAGTCTCAGCAAGGAGGGACCTTTACATGTAGTTCTGCCAAAGGAATATCCTCTTGTACTCTATGCCTACTCAGAGTATGTACTGGCTTTGGAGGCTGGACAAAAAGCAAGCCCTCCATAACTACCAAACCTGTAATTTCATTACCTTTGTTTCTGCATACAACTCATGAGAAATGGCCACATAAAAGTGGAACTATTTAAAGTAAAACAGATTTTGCAAATGCTTTCCCTCCCCCAAAGACACTTGTGTATATGATGTAACAGTGGAAATAACTACACTTATTCTTCTTCAATGATATCACCCTTGATAGTCTGGTCTATGCTGGGGTTAAATGGTATAACAAGGTTACATCAGGCAAAAGCAGGGAGAATGAGTCATGTAATACCTTACTGGAATGGAAAAGCATGATAGAACAGGCAAAGAAAATTAACTAGGAATGACTTCCTTTAGCTTCAGCACATCAAAAAGGATCTCGAAACCAAGAAAACAACAGGCTGTGATGCTTTATGCACTTTCTCTGAGAAAATGCTTCCAAATTTTGCAAACTGTACACCCAAACAGTACATGCACACTTGAAAGAAATATGAAAGCAAGCATCCTTGTGTTCCAACCAGGTACCACAGCTTAATAGTTTATGGCTGATGTCAGGGAACTGCCATCAGCTCAGAGACAAGAGGTGGAAGGGCAGTTGTGTTACAGGGAGCCTCCGAAGATCTTGTGAAGCAGTTCTTCCTCCAGTGGGGAAGGGGCGCAGGGATCAGAAGATGCTAGGGAGAGCCTCAACACTGAGCCTGAGCAAAGCGGAGGGGAGGCAAGTTCCCCTTTGCCAGCGCCCTCTCTGTGCAGTAGGTTTGGGTGCAGAGAGGGGAGGAGAAGGATGGGGGTCACACGGCTGTTATGCTGGGGAAGGTATAAGGACCGCCCACTCCCAGATTCTGCTAGCGACTGAGCAGACATGGACTTGCGACGCTCTGCACTGTAAATGGTTTGTGCAGATAATAAAGCCTGGAAAAGACAGGTTGGAGTCTTGCCTGTTTGCTCTCGAACAACCACACCAGCACCTGGCAGTTGAGCTTGTTGATCTTGTCATTGAACGTCTACGGATGAAGAGCATCAGCAGCAGATGACTAGGAAAAGAGATATTGCAATGTTCACACCTTGTTTGGGTTTCAACAGAGGCATCATGCACAGAAATGAACAGAGCCAAGCAGGAGTTCATTGGTCCCCCAGCAAAGAAATAGGGACAGTGCTGCCCAGGTGCTTGGAAACAAATCTAACAAATTTAGGCTTGTGACTTTATTTGTGGCTGGTTAGAATTCCCCCACTGCACCTCTGCAGGGCCAGGGGAGAGAAATATCAGCAGGTTTTGTGGGGACAGGCAAAAGTTGCAGCACTTTTTGGGCTTGGGGGGGGAGTGATTCTTACAATTCAGTGAAGGCTCTTTTCTTCTCTCCTTTAACTTAAAGCCAAGCTGCTGCTGCTGCTGCTCCAAGCTGTGCCTTGTCTGCTCAGCAGCCTTGCCTGTTGCCCTCAAGTGTGACAGAGAACATAGAATCATAGAATGGTAGAGTTGGAAGGGACCCCAAGGTCATCTCATCCAACCCCCTGCAATGCAGGAATCTTTCACCCACTACAGTGGTACCTCAGGTTACAGACGCTTCAGGTTACAGACGCTTCAGGTTACAGACTCTGCTAACCCAGAAATAGTACCTCGGGTTAAGAACTTTGCTTCAGGATGAGAACAGAAATTGTGTGGTGGCGGCGCTGCGGCAGCAGGAGGCCCCATTAGCTAAAGTGGTGCTTCAGGTTAAGAACAGTTTCAGGTTAAGAACGGACCTCCAGAACTAATTAAGTTCTTAACCCAAGGTATCACTGTACAGGGGTCAAACCCACAACCTTGAGATTAAGAGTCTCATGCTCTACCAACTGAGCTAAGCATGGCCCCATTGTGCTGAAGTAAGTTTCAGCTCCAGTATGGTCAGTTTTGTTAGGTGGAATTGGGGTGGGAGATACCATCTTGTCTTTTGCCTTAGGCAGCAAAATGTCTTGGGCAAACCCCAATACGAGGCTTAGCAGCCTCCCAAGCTTTAGATCAAATGAATGTCTCATAAAAGATGAACGTGGCCCTGTGAAAATTTCCAAAACAAAAGTAGTTCAAGAGATCTTTTTCTCAGACATATGATTAGATCAGGGGTCAGCAACCTGTCGCCCATGGGCCACAAGCAGCCCACTGGGGTCATTTAAATGGCCCCCCAGCCGCCCCCAAACCAAGCCACCCGCTTGGCGAGTCCCCGCACGCTGCGCTAAACCGGCAGAGCAGGGATTTGCTTCCGCAGCACCGGAAATTGCATTTGTGCAGACGCGATCTGGCCCACAGAGCCGGCGCTCGGTTTCAAATGTGCTGCGCACCAACCTCCTGGCACTACTGCCCTGAACCGGGGTCGGCCGGCGCTCGGTGCCCCATTCCCCAAGCTGCCACTGGCACTCAGTTTCAAGTGTGCTGTGCGCCCGCCTCTCAGCACTCCTGGCATCACCTCCCCAAGCTGGCACCGGCCACCCCTGTCCCCCGTTCAGGGCGGTAGTGCTGGGAGGCGGGCATGCAGTGCTCAGTTCCGAGTATAAGCCACACTTTAACTTTTCACAATCGGAATTTGGAGGGGGAAAAGTGTGGCTTATATTCGGGCCAATACGGTATATGCTACTCTCTGTCCTCATTTGTAAATAGGGTGGAATACGCAATCCACATATAGTGTATTGTGGCCAGAAAATCATGGTAGTACCTCTGGTGCCGAATATTGTATCACAAGGTATACACAGATCCTTGAACAGAGCAAATTTCTGGAGTAGTATTCAGTGGAATGTGGAATTTTTCAACCTACAGCAAGTATGTGCTGCATATAAGATAAAGCAAAGAATTTTTGTTCTTCAGGTGCTGAACTTGGTGCAGTGAAAACATGTGAACTCTGTAAGCAGAGCCTTACTGTAGATCTGGATGATTTTAACGTGAACGACTATTACAGGAATCATCAGCAGTCTCGGGTAAGAAACGAAAGGGGCGCCCTGATAAGGTCTTCATCTGAACCGTTATTTATTTCTTACTCGCCTTTCATTGTAAGGTCCGAGAACAGGCTACGGGTATTAAACAGAACAGGTAACCTGAACTTCTTGCTGCACAAAGACCTGTAGGTCTTCATGGAAAACAGAAAGTTCAAGGGAGAGATGTGCACTTACTCAGTTTTCATATTTTAAGCAATGTCTAACTTCCCAAATAATGCTAGTTGATGATCATTTTCTAAAACCTGCACATCACCTTGGACAATTAATTTTAAGCAAACGAAACTTGCAATTAAATGAAGTCATTAAATGACTTGTTAGGTAGAGATGAAAGTGCTGTGACAAGAGCGAAATCCCGCCTTGTCTTTATTCTACAGGGATTTCAGTTCATCAGTGTTCTCAGAGGTTTTTTCATTTTGTGTTTTTCAAATGGCAACATACCTTAGTAAACTCTTAAAACCTGCATCTTTTGACTTTTAACTGGGGTGGGAGTGGTACTGAAAAGAGACAATGCAGTCCTGAAAGCCGAACACCCAGTATCGTAACACTACTGTATATAAATGTATGTTCTATTTACTTTATTTTGGTTTGGCTCTTCAGTTCTTCTGTATCTTACAAGAAAAATTCAGCAGTTAGTAGAAGCTTATTTCAAAGGCACCTGTGCTTAGAGAAATGTTTGCTGTCCTAGCTGAGCTGGAAATGATAGAAAATCCCAAATGAAACTACCAGGATGAATCATCTTCTAATGAAGAATGGTGTGCACTTTTATATAGAAAAAATATGGCCAGGAAAGACATGTTTATGATTATCAGTAAACTAGGACCAGGCATCAGTTAACTAGGACCAGCAGTAAACTAGGACCAGGCATCTAAAATGCAGAGGGACAGATAGCCATTTAAACAGGCCAAAGCACCATAGGAAAAATTCAATTTGTAGAGAAATGCGGTGTGTTAGTGTTTACACGCCAATGCAAGAAGCCTCTGAGCCAAGATTAGTGAGTTGGAGTGCTTGGCTTTAAAGGACAGCATAGATGCAGCAGGTGTGTTGAAAACCTGGCAGAATGGGCAGAAGTGGTGGGATATGGTTATCTTGGAAAACAAATTCTATAGGAGCAACAGGGAAGCATTCCGTACCTCAAAGAGCACCAAGTCCGACAATTTAGAAATCACAAAAGGGGCAGACTTCTCTACGGAATCAGGGTGTTGACCCCAAGAGTCATTTAGTACTGGGGATATACTATCATCCCCCTTAACAAAATGTCCATGACGATAATGAAGGGGAGAATGAAATGAATAAGACATCCAAAGGAGAACGTTTTGTAGAAACTGGCAGCTTCAATTGACTGGGTAAATTCACGACAGAGAGGTAACATTTCTAGATGCCCTGCAATGACTGTGCCTTATAACAGCTTGTCATGGAAATGGCGAGAGAGGTGGTCACCCTGGCCTTGATCTTAAGTGGTACCCAGGAACTAGTGCGAGACGTAAGTGTTGCTGAACTGACTGGGAACAGTGGTTGTGAAGCTGTCAAAGTCAACATAGATGTAAGTTGACAATTTCCATGTTTGGCTTCCAAAGGAGAAACATTTAGAAAATAAGGATATTGATAAAAGGGAAGTTGAAAGGGAATGCTGAAGGCTATTTAAGACCAGAACATTAGAAGCTCAGCTAGACTGAACATGTAGCACAAAGACCAAGTGCGTGCCATCATGGTCAATGAGAAGAATCAAGGAAGCCATTGGAGACAAGCAGGCATCCTTCAGAAAATGGAAATCTTGCCTAAATCAGAAGGAAAAGGGAACACAAGCTTATGCAAGCAGACAACAAGGCACTCTTGAAGAGCCTCAGAGCTAGGGGGCAAATGCGGCCATTCAGGACTCTCCCCAAACCATGCACCCTCTTCAAATTGCCCTCCTCAAACCCTTCACTGCCTCTTATCTGTGTCCTCTCAAGGGTTTCTGCCTGGCTGAAATATGTCCTTGAACTGCAGCCATGCCAATAGCTTGGATGGAGAATGATATGGAAGGAAACTTCTGGCTTTTTGTGGCTGGGATGTAATGTTGCTCCACCCAACAATGTCATGCAGAACCCACAGAGTTCTGTCTGAGGCAGAAAAATGTTGCCATCCCTGCAGCTAGCAATGCAAAAAGTTCTGAAATCTGCAGGGAGCCTCCATGAATAGAAAAGGCCTCCTTGCTTCAGAAGCTCATGGAAGGCAACCAGGGTCATGTGGAGTTGCTCATCCAGTTGTAGCAGAAACTCAAAAGCCTTTCTCTCCCTACATACAGGCCCAGGATGAACTGATGAACTCAGGCCTCTATCTGGTGCTGTTGCTTCACCTGTATGAGCAAAGGTTTGCAGAACTCATGAGATTAAACTACAACCAAGCCTCCAGAGATCGGGTAAGAGGAGAACGATATCTAATTCCACCTCATTGTTTATACACGGCAACCTAGGTTCACTAGCCTCCCATCAGTTATTGCTGTGATAAGTTATGTATGCAGTGTTTGATGTAAAAGTGACCCAAACTCTTAGGGTCATGTTCCAAGGAGCAGAAATTGGACTCTGTCCCCCCAAACTCTTAGGGTCATGTTCCAAGGAGCAGAAATTGGCCTCTGTCCTATAGAATTGGACTCTGCATCTTCCCTTTGCTGCTTTCATTTTTTCTGCTGAAAATACTAGGGTACCTAAACTGGTAAAGGGTGAAGCAGCTGTGAGATGAATCGCATCATGCGGTTAGACTCAACTGCCCTGCTATGCTGGTTGTGAGACAGGGCAATCCTACACATGTTCTTAGAAGTAAGTCCTACTCTGCCCAATGGGCACTAGGGTGCGTGTTTAGGATTGCAGCCTAAAACCAGTTGATGCCAGTTCTTCATCTTTTATCGCAGGGCATTCTATTCTGCCTCTGGCTAATCTGATGTCAGTACAGGACCGTAAGCACTGCCATAAAAAATCTGTGCTACAATGTGATTGTTTCCAAGGGCTGTCTTCAGTCTGCACTTGTAGCAACCATAGCTGTACATGAATTCTGTATCTGTCAGCATCTTTGGCCATTTGGTAATTAGATCCTGTCAGATAACTGCTAAATCAGTTACACATTTATGACCCCTTTTTGCTACTTACAGGGTTGCATGGGGCTGGCTTTCAGACACTATCATATCTTTCACCCACCACACAAGTGCACTTCCCTTTGCCTCATGCGTCTCATTTATGACATCAGAAACAAGCGAGCAAAGAAATAAATAAAGTGACTTAGCTACGAAATTAACATTCCTCGTTAATGTCTAAAACGTCATAAATATCCAGGATGCCTTAAACAGGCCAATAGCTTTAATATGACCGTATGTAAGGTACGCGGGATGCGGGTGGCGCTGTGGGTAAAAGCCTCAGCGCCTTGGGCTTGCCGATTGAAAGGTCGGCGGTTCGAATCCCCGCGGCGGGGTGCGCTCCCATTGTTCGGTCCCAGCGCCTGCCAACCTAGCTGTTCGAAAGCACTCCCAGGTGCAAGTAGATAAATAGGGACCGCTTTCTAGCGGGAAGGTAAACGGCGTTTCCGTGTGCGGCTCTGGCTCGGCAGAGCAGCGATGTCACGCTGGCCATGTGACCCGGAAGTGTCTCCGGACAGCGCTGGCCCCCGGCCTCTTGAGTGAGATGGGCGCACAACCCTAGAGTCTGTCAAGACTGGCCCGTACGGGCAGGGGTACCTTTACCTTTTTATGTAAGGTACACATATAAAAAAAGGAACCTACGGGTGCTTATTGGTATGTACTTTAGCAGAAATGCATGCCTTACTTGTGACATCGTATACCAAACTGCCAAAATTCTAGGTGTCTTTCCAAGTTTTTTTCAAACCTACTGTCTTCTGCTTGAAGACCCTACAGAACCCCCCTCCCCCCAATTTAGGACTGCACTCCCAAAAGGTATCCAGCCATAGGTCCGTGGGCAAAGAAAGCAATTTCTTTTTCATTTTATAGACAAACAAAACATTTACCTATCGATTGTCTCTTTTAACATTATTTTCACTGTACCTTACATTTCCGCAATGGGATGGTTCACCCACTTGTCTTGGATTTTTAAGATGTTTCTTTAAAGCGCCTTTTCCGCAGGCCATGCCAACAACATTGGTGTTGAAATTCTATGTGTCTTGTCACTCTTATTAGGAACAACATGTATTAATCCTTTTTTCCTTTCCCCCTAGCTCTCAAGACAGCCTAGAACAGAGGAAAACCAAAGTAGGTTTATGTAGGGCTTACAGCAACTCCTACTATTTCTCAGTAACTTTTTGCAGTATTCCTGATAAAGGACTCTTAGATCTACCAAGATGCTAGATTCCCTTACGGTGCATCTAATCAGAGGTGCAAGTGTCTCATTAAGCCACAGGCACTGCAGAAGATGCTCTGGTTTCTCTAAATAACAAAGGGAAGCTGTGTGATTTTAGAAGAACTGGAGGTTTGTCAAAATGGGAATTATATTCCATGGGGCTTTATGAAAATGGGAAGTGTTTCCTAGCCCTTGTTTGCTTTGTACAAAGGAGAGCTCAAGGTATCTGAAAGGGTAGAAATTAATTGACAAGCAGGGGGAGAGAGTTATAGTGGTTGTATTATAAACAAGTAGGGACTGAAGCCCAAGCGCAGCTTCATCCACTTGTCCAACAAGGATGCTGGTAGCAGCTTCTCCCTGTAACTTACCACAATGAACATGAATGGGGAAAACCAGTTGCACAGACTCCTTCCTCTGTCTTACAGGGAGCCTATGTCTTTTGTTTAAGCATTGGAAATAGGCAAATAGATGAATAGTCATTATTGGGAGGAAGGTGTTTTGTCCCAGTAGCCCCTGGTGCAATCTGAGCTGAGTTTTGCATTCTGCATGGTGTTAACAAGTCTGCAACCCTCTACTTACCTAGGAGTAAATCTCACAGGGGTTCTTATAGAAGACTGAGCTTTAAAAGCCCTTTTACCACCTCCTGGAAATTAGCTTGACACTGTGGCAAACGTAAAACTTCGCTTTGAGGCACAGCTTTTTTCCTCTCCCTTTTTTTTAAGTTTGACAGTGCATTTCAGGAAATTTGAAATTCCCCATCTTGCTTGCTGCATTGTGACATTTTAATGAATGCTAATAGAGGTGTTGCCCTATTGTGCCATTTAGACCTGTTCATTGATGGTAAATACTATGCACATTTACTTAGAAAAAAACCCTCCTAGTTCAGATTACAGCCTACCAGGTTTATTGTGCTTTCCAGACTAGAGCAGGAAGAACAACCCTCAGTCAGCAGGTATAGTTGTGTATATTTGTATGTGTGTATAATATGTATACACTCAGGTGGATATGCAGTGATGCAAAAAAGCTGTAAGATTCAAGAAGGCCACTGGTAGTTCTATATAAGGCTTAAACAAACCGATACTATAATGACGACTAATCACAACAGCAATAACTGGTGATAACAATAACCCTTCCTTTGTTAAGTAACATCAACAGTGGGTATGAAATTGATAGAGGCCTGTCTTGGCTCAAGCAAAGACTTCCTTGTGTAAATTCTCATATAGCAATTTCACACTGGAATCTCCATTTGAAGTGCCTTGGGAAACCGAAGGCTTCTCCCCATTGGTTTCTGGGCGTTTTGCTTATTCTTTTGCAAACAGACTGTAGCGTATCATCTTCAGTAGGCGGGTGAACCCTATGGGGTTGGCTTTTATTAGGATTTGTAATAGTAATGCTTGAATAGACACAGGGATAGAGTTTGCATCTGGGTTAGTGGCAGGGTCTTCTTCTTCCGCTTTTGTCTGTTTTATATTAGGGGTATGTCTGAAAGCAAGGACAAGTCTAACACACAAGGACTGTGATGCTCCACTGCCTATAATATATACTGTACAGTGCTTAGAAAATGTTTAGGGGTACTCTCATTTTCCTACTCATGTTGAAATACTGCCCCTCAATGAGGCCAAACTTAGATTCACAAAATGTTTAGGGGTAGGTATACACCTGCGTACTCCCAGAAAAAAGCAGTGTGTGTGTGTATGGGAGCACGCACACACACACACACATCAAGGTGTCCAAAGAAAATTGGTTTTCCGTCAACATACCCACATGGCTCCTACCCCTTTTGAAGTTCCCAGATAAGAGTAACATTCAAATCAAGAGGCCTATTATATTTAGCTAACTTACAGAAATGTTGCAAACAGCTATTTAGCATGGTCAGTTATGCCCCAGTAATGCCCCAACTCGTGGTGTCCAATGTGGTTAACGAGCAATGAGGTGAAACGCTCTCTGCATGTACCAAGGGCATTTCCTTCTTTTATAATATCACATTTCGGAGCTGGGCGCTGCAGCCTCAGTAGAATTTGAAGCTGTGCTCCCAAGTTATCTCTGCACATCCTCTTGACTTCTTGAGTTCCCTCTCTCTTTATAGAATGGTTGTGCAAGCTTATGCTGTGAAAAAGTTGAATTGAAAATAAAACATTTGGACTGCAATCGTAACCCAACTTACCTGGGAGTAAGCTCCACTTAATTCAGTATGACTTACTTCTGAGTAGACATGGTTATTAGAATTGCACTGTTAGAAGGACACCTTTTCCCTCCATACAATCATAGGAAAATATAATTGGAAAGGGTTTCATTGGTCATCATTCACCCTTTTCTCCCCCACGACCAGATTGCCTGCACACCTACGGTTCTTGCATTGTTTACAGCAGTCATGGGGGACTGACACCAGTACAGGCCTCCTTAAAGCAGCCCTTCATTTATTTGAGCCGCATTTCCTAACATAACATATATCCACATCCTTTCAGATAGTCCTAGCATATGGCAAGTAGGAGTTAACTAAATTTGGCACCTTGGATGCCTTACTTTTTGGGCTCTCTGGCTCCTCGATTTTATGAAATGTGTCAAAACAAGTCTCTGGAGATAAGTAATTAAATTTGGATTTATGGTGAACATTTGAGCCTCCGTTGCTCTTTTGAGTAATAGTGTATTGAATGCATTTAAGGCAATTGCCACATTATACAGAAAAGCGTTCTAAGAAGTGATTTATTTCCTCCATCTTTGCAGATTCAGCCAATTCTGGCAACAGTGGGTAAAAGAGCTCTCAAGGAGGATCTTAGGAGGAGACCTCTTTGGGAATCTGACAGAGAGCCCTTCTTCACATCCTTCAACTTTCACTCTTACTTAACACCAGGCCACAATAAGTATGTACGCCATTCATATTCCGTGTCACCCATTGAAATCAAAAGACTTTTTAAGGGTCTGGGGTTGTTTTGGCTGTTTGTGTGGTTTGATTCTTGTGGGTTTTCCCCCTTTTGTTTTCGTTTTTGAAGTTGCAATATTGACTGACAATCTTTTTAAAACAACATGGGTTATTAACAGCAACTTGCAGAGTGTAAACTTTTTAATCTCTCCTACTTCCTGGCCCCCAGCTACTCAAATCAAAATTCAAAACGTTGGCTAGGGTTTCACGAGTGTGTTGTGTGTGTGCTTTGACTGACAAACCGTCCGAGATGGCAAACCAGGTATCTACATTTGCAGCACCTGCCCTACTAGAATCCACTCTGCACCATTTCAGACATGCGCCTTTGGGGTCAGGGTTCCCTGGAGATAAAAGCAATGTTTTGTACGTTAAAACTGAGTTGTTGTATGCCCAGCCTTTTCACAGGACATTTCATGGCATGCAAATGTAAATGTATTGATGTACTGTTGTATGATCAGTCTTATAACATTATTGCCTTCCTTTTGAATGGCAAGCCCTAATAAAAAATATTTAATCTTTTGTTCACTCCTCAGGCACCCCCTCCCATGTTCTTTTTAAAAAATTTGATCAGTAAGTGAACAGGTTGTTGTTTTGGAGGGAGATTCCCACAGGTGAATATCAGCTAGCCAGGGCATTCCCCTTGTGACAGAACTTTCAGGAGAGATGCTCTAAGGCAATCTGTGCCTCTCTCTCCTTCCCACCCATCCCTGCTGCATCACGCAGCCAACACAGACTGCCAATTCCTGGGTTCTGTACAGCAGCACTGCCAACGCTGGATTGCTGCTAAAATAGTAATAGCAGCAAATGCAGCTTGAATGACTTCAGATTACAACGGACCCTCCGGATACGAATTAAATTTGTTCCAGGGGTCCGTCCGGAACCCGAAAAGTCTGTAGGCAGAGGCGCCGCTTCTGCGCACATGGCACAATTTAGCGCTTCTGCGCACGGTGAAACCCGGAAGTATGCACTTCTGGGTTTGCCACGTTCGTAACCCAAAAGTTACATATCCAGAGCGATACGTAACTAGAGGGTCCACCGTATACTAAGAGCCCACACTGGAAAGAGGCCATGAAACTTGAAGGTTAGAGCAAATTTCTCCCGTTTTCACAATTGTAGCAGAACTTGCACTTACTGCTGTGTTGCAATTGCTGGTGTCAAATGTGAAAAGAAGGCTTTTGAAAACATGTATTACTGGTATTTAGAGCGAATTGATTTGCATACGGAGAGGCACTTTGGATGTAGTCATCTGCCCCAGTGGTGGAGTCCTTTCCCAAGGAAGCCTCCGATAGAATGGCATTCCTCATTGGGTGTCATCCAGAGCTGTCATGCCTTTCACAAACACGTGTGCTCTTTTTCAGAATGGGTTTGCTTGGTCCATTGTGTTTTAGCACTGAAGGGCTTAACTGGTCCAGTGCAGTGCCTTGAATTGTAGCTCAAAAGACAACTTCTCACAGCACCTGCCTGTTTCAAAAAGAGAGCATTGCTTAAGCTCCTTCCCTTAATGATGTTACCACTCCCGTCTTCTATCTAGACATGTGCATTAGAGTTTTTAAGGGTTGAATTCCAGAGGTTTCTCCACATGTTGATACAATTCAGTGATACATTGGGTGGAGCCCACTAGCATTCAGACTGTCTTAGCTGAGAATGACCTTCCCTGGTTGCTCTCCTTAAAGGCCATGTGAGCAGTTTGTGAGGTAGGCGATGGGAAAGCTAAAAGGTTTGGGACAAGTTGCGTTTAACAATTGGGCTGAGTCCACAAAGACTGCAAGACTGACGTTGTCGAAATTCATCTTAAGTCCAGATATAGCCACTGAAGAGGAATTTCTGCCATTACCAATCTTGGGATCAATCAGAGTTGAATTTTTGCAACTTTAATTAAAATGACGCACTGCACAGTGAATGGTAAATTCTGAGAAAGCAAGAAATGGGGCAAAAGAGGTTTTTGGCTTCTTGCGACTACTGAAAACCATGGAAGAAGATGAAGAGTCTGCTTTTGCTGAAACGGATGGGGAAATGAAGCTTTATTCCAAGATTCTAGAAGGCTTTTTTTTTTTTAAAGCAAAAGTAATTACTTTAAAAGTTGCCAGTTTCTTTTCCAGCACCTTTTCACATTATTCAGAAGGGTGATAGGAAATGCATTGAATCTGAGGCATTTTTCCAGTAATTGCAAACAAACAAACAAACAAACAAACAAGCAAACTTCTCATTATTTTGGGATATAACTCTTCCCTCCTTGTACGGAACGCAATGATACGTTGTCTGGTTGTGTTTTATTCACCTTGAAAGCAGAGAGGGGAATAACATGGTCAAGACTGTTGCTAAGGGGTGGCTATGGTACTGTCATAATTACTGAGGGAGAGTCTGAGGGAATGGCAGCAGCATACACATCTGGGAAGAGCCTTCCCTCCTTTCAGGCCTGCTATTGCACTTAATTCCTGAATATATATTGACCAACAGGCTTGCCTTCTTGGCAGAAGGCATTTCCATGACAATTCCTTTGTCAAAACGTTGAAGAAGTGCTCATACCGCACATCAACATTCTTGGGGCAGAAGCTTTGGTTTCAGAGAATATCCATTTCAGTGAACATGGGTACTGAGTTCTCACCTGCACCATTTTCACGCCTGCATTGGAATCCTCCGTTCAATATTGCTGCAAAAGGGTTAGTGCTCCGTTTGTAAAATGAGAGGTTCCCAGCACCCAAGCCCAGAAATTGGCCTTTTGCCTGGGAGCTTATTTGCCCAGACACACACAAGGCTTGCCTGTGGCTACTCATGAGAGAGATGAAGGCACACTACATATTATCGAAGGCATTGTTACTTCATACATCTCATGGTGGAGTCCAGGGCAAAGTCATTCCAATTCAGCCCTGAAAAACGATCCCCTGAGCAGAGAAGTTGTTTAGCATTAGCCATAAATCAATATGTATGAACATCCTTTATCTAAACCAAAAAGATCCCCAGGAAACAAGCAGCAGTCATCAAGGGAAAAGGAACTGGAAAACCTAAGATTGTCTCAGAAACTCCCCATACCATGGCCTGGTATGGCAGCTTCCAGGTACCTAAAGATTAAAGAGACAAAGGTAAACATTTTTATGAACACTTAATATCCAGCTTAAGTGAAAATTACCAGATTTTTTTTATATATATACAACAATTCTCATAATTATTTGAGTAGCAGAAAAGAAATATTCTCCCCTTATCATCTTTAGCTCAGCCACTGTTCAAAAGTTATTTAGTTGGAAGCAAAGGACAAAACGACAACCACAGCATGCCCTGTTTGATTTTTCCCCCTTAATTCCACATTTCTTTCACCCAAGGTCACTCACTAGCATATGCTATCCAAACCCAAGTTGTATACTTATTCTGGAAGCAAAAAAAAAAAAACTTTAGTGTCCTGTTGCATTGCTTAGAATGATTGAGAATTAAGTGGGAAAGGGGGGAATTGTAGAACCTTTGGCCATCACATCTACACACAGACACAAAATACCCCCAAAAGAAGGTATAATTGTCAAACATGCACTTTGATACGGTATAAAACGAGAAGTACCAGAAAACAAGTTGTCTATACCTCTTATCCAGCAAGGCAACAACGAAAACAAAATTAAAATTGAAAACAAGTGCCAGTATATTTGTTTTCCACTCAAGAAATGCTGTTGTTCCGAGGACCTTTCTGCAAAAAAAAAAAAACACCTGTATTCTGCAATAAATATGCATTTGTTTCCCATTTTAAGTTCAGGGCAGTGTTTCTGTTGCAGATACAATGCATTTTCTTTAAGTGCTCAGACCGCAACATTTTGTTCTTGGGGGAAAAGCAGGCCTTGCCTCGAGTGGACAACTCATGCTCATTGTTCCTGTTCAAAATGCAGATGTCCCAGCCCCACACTTGACCTACTCGATGCATTGTTTTGTTCTGTGATCAGTGGGAAATGACACAACCCCCCAGGACCATTTAGCCAACTCCCCCCCCCCCGCCACCACCACTTGTTTGTAGAAGGGCTGATAACGATGTTCAATTCTTTGAAGGCTTATGAGTTTTGCAAGGAAGTGCCTATCTAGGAGTCGTCATCGTTAAAAGAGGCAGAGGCAAATAGTAACATTCCTGTCTTCTTCACCACCACCCCCAAGCACACACCCGTTACTCATTTGTCACCAAGAGGCCATCCTGAAGCTGTGAAAACACTTGTGGCACCACTTTCAGTCGTTTTCGCAGAAAGGCCCTCTATACGGCAACAGAATTTAACAGCAGAATGGTTGCTATGGCAGTGGCATGGCTGGGGAAGTATTTATCTCGGGGTATCTCGGCATCAGAGGAATGGCAGATCGAACCACCGTTATTAGGAATTCAAGGGCCCATCACTCTTTTAACTATCCACATGGCTTCAAGAAGTAATCCGAAATAAGAAAGGTGTGTTCTTACCAAGAAGAACACGAGGAAACCTTGCAAGCCCTTCCCTGTTTTAATATTAGAACCAGGAAGAATTAAGGCTTGCATTTTCATTCTCTAAGGAAATGTGGAGAAGACACTGCAGAGACTGGAGCATCCAAAATGAGGCTTTCTAACTCACTCTCTCCAACAAATGAACCACCTTCCCTTTTCTCCCATGGCTCCTCTTTGAGAAGGGCAGACGTACAAGGCCAGGGTTGAATTTCTTCCAGTGTCACATACAAATGGGACTTTTAAAAAAGTATTTCTCCACATCTCCTTAGCAGTTCACAGTCCTATCTATTGACCCTGCTGTTGCCCTATGCTGTCCTCGGGGGCTTGCTGTTCAGATGGCATGTTATGACAGGTACTCAGGTCCCTCCCTCCCCCCACCCCGGCTTGCCAATCCCCCCACTAGTCTTGCTGTTCGTTCATCTCCATATCAGACACCAGAATGTTCTTCTCTGCAGATTCACTGGGGTTGGAGTTGGTGCGGCTGTAACGGGCGCTCTCAAACGCCCCTCGCTCTGAGGTCCTCCGGCGCTTGTACAGATAGATAGCAACTGCTATCAGGGCACACAGTGCTAAGGAGGAGAGGATAACCACCGCGATGGCCTTTGTGTTCTCCAGGAAAGCTGCAAAAGAGAGGGAAGAAGGGTCAGAAGGGAAGGAGACCCGTTTTTGTGGAAGAGCGAGGGGGAGACTCTGTGCACAGAGCTGGCCAGGATTAGTTTCAGTTTGCTTAGCGGGATGCGGAATTTTGAGCAGACACATCGAAATGGGGAAACTCTTGCCATTTGGGTTTCAAAAGAAGCAAATCTCGCTCAATCTCCACCTAACATCTCTCTGCCATCTATATATAAGGGTCTGTTGACTTCTGTTTCAGTGTATCTGAAGAAGTGTGCATGCGCACGAAAGCTAATACCAATAACAAACTTAGCTGGTCTCTAAGGTGAAGGAATTTTTAAAAGTTATTATTATTTTTGTTTCGACTACAGCAGACCGACACGGCTACCTACCCATAACTATCTCTCTGCCAGAGCGGTAACTTTTCCACAGATCTGTCTTGTGCTAGAAACAGCCCCTTTGTGTGCCAAAGAACCAAATTCCGGGGTGAATATTATAAACAGATGTGTTAAATTCAGAATGTATTCAGCTACTCTAATCATGGGAGAGGAGTAAGAAAGTATGCAGAGCACTGAAGTGCCACCCACTCACTACTAGAAGCTCTGCTCATCCCTCCATCTAAATTATTGCTTGCCACCATGCACTCCTTTGGGAGGAAAAAAATTAATGAATAAAATAAACCAGGTGGGGATTCCCTGGTGGGGATTGCTGCCATGGGGTGGTCCATTGGGACCCTTCCGCCACGGGCTTCCCCTACTGCTTCAGGTAAGGGAGAGAGGTGGCAGAGGGCAGGTTGTGCTCCAAGCACAAATGAGGAGAGAGGCTGTTTGAGGTAATAATAATAATAATAATAATAATAATAATAATAAATTTTATTTATACCCCGCCCTCCCCAGCCAAGACTGGGCTCAGGGCGGCTAACCACCAGGTATAAAAACAATTGATTAAAATACAACTTAAAAACAAGATTAAAATGCAACATTAAGATGCAGCCTCATTTCAGAAGAAACTCAAATCAAAAACTTTGGGGGGATGAAAACGTCAAATCTTCACCAAGGCCAACTATCCAGACTGGTCCTACGTGGGCCAGAAAAAAAACCAGGGAAGTCCCCAAATAGGAGTTTCATCACAGAAGGAGAAAGGAAAAAGGAAAGAGGGGAAGGGGATCAAGTTGATTCCAAGCCAAAGGCCAGGCGGAACAACTCTGTCTTACAGGCTCTGCAGAAAGAAATCAGATCCTGAGACAGAGTGTTCCACCAGGCCGGAGCCAGTGTTGAAAATGCCCTGGCTCTGGTTGAGGCTAATCTAACTTCCTTAGGGCCCGGGACCTCTAGGGTGTTGGTATTTATAGACCTTAGGTCCTCCACAGGGCATACCAGGAGAGGCGGTCCCGTAGGTACAAGGGTCCTAGGCCTGTCCAATTCACTTGTGCCCAGTTATTGCAACTGAAGCAGGTCTGGCTTTCCTGCTTCAAATTCTCACCCCCTTCTACAGTGCAAAAGGCACAAGACTCCGGTTTTACAACAAGACTGGGAGTCCATCTGTTTCAGGACTGGTGTTCAAAGGAGTGTCAGGAGGCAAAGCCAAGCTCACCTACAAGGAGACACAGCAAGCAGTTTCCAGTTTGGTACGTACCTGATCTGGAGAGGCTGCTTTCTTCCGCTGCCATGGAAAGAGAACCCAGACAGTGGCAAGAGGAAGAGAGAGAGAGAGAGAGAGAGAGAGAGAGGGTGTCATTAATTTGCCTGTTCCTGGTCCTTTTTCATATGTTACTTGAAAATAGCTCTTCAGAGCTGCTCAAAACATTACATAGCAAACCCCTCCATGCTTTGCTATTGCATTCCTTTGACTTTCATTAGCTATTGCATTCCTTTGACTTTAAACCCTAAAAATAACAATAAAAGTAATAATATATCCTCTTTCAATTGCAACCACACTTGTCCCCTTGTCCACTGGTAGAGCAACCCGACTTTCTAGCTCTTATTTGTCCTTCATTTTTCTCCATAAAGTAACATTAATCAAACGTATTAAGAGTTATACCTTTACTGAACCAATTTAGGCATGATTAAGAGTATGCATGCCTTTCAGCCTTCACGGAACTCTTCATTAGGCAGAATGGAAAAGATTAGATTAGACAAGTCGCCCAGCTCCCTCTCTTATCTACTTGAAAGCAGCCTCGCTTTTCACTAGCTGATGAAGAGTTTCACGAACCCATAGAACTCTGCAGATTCACACAGAGGCCTAAGCTGACCCAAGAAACGATTTCATTCTACCTCAAGTTTTGGGACAACCAAAGGCCGTCTGCAGAGGACAATCCATGTCTAACATATTCTGTTTAAACCACCCAGCGCCCAAGAGGGACAGGTTTCCAAACAGCACACTGGCTATCTTTGGTCAAGACTCGTTCTCTTTATCAGCATTATCCAAAAATCACCGCCACCACAATAGTGGACTAGAAAAAAGTCTCAATGCATGAAGATATATACAGGATTCTATTCTTAAACAAAAGAGAAGTAAGGTCAATCCCTTGCAGTCTCTCTGAGCCACCGAAACCCACCTCACTGGCTGTTGATCATGTGTGATTTAGTGCAACTGGCCCTTACAATGTACAGTGGTACCTCTGGTTGCAAATGGGATCCGTTCCAGAGCCCCGTTCGCAACATGAGCAGAACGCAACCTGTGTCTGGCGATTTGTCGTTTCTGCACATGCGCGTGACGTCATTTTGAGCGTCTGCGCAAGCAGCGAAACCTAGAAGTAACCATTTCCGGTACTTCCAGGTCTCCGCGGGATGCAACCTGAAAAGAGGTAACCTGAACCGAATGTAACGAGGTATGACTGTAGTGATGAGGGCCCATTAATAAACCCCAACAAACTCCTGCTCTGATTCCCCGATGCTGAAGTCTGACCCATGGCCATTAGAAGCCTCACCCCACATTTTAGGAGCGTCTCCACCCCCATCGTTCAGCCCGGACACTGAGATCCAGCGCCAAGGGCCTTCTGGCGGTTCCCTCATTGCGAGAAGTAAGGTTACAGGGAAGCAGACAGAGGGCCTTCTCGGTAGTGGCGCCCACCCTGTGGAACGCCCTCCCACCGGATGTGAAGGAAATAAGTAGCTATCTTATCTTTAAAAGACACCTGAAGGCAGCCCTGTTCAGGGAAGCTTTTAACATTTAACGCTGTATTGTTTTTAATACTTGATTGGGAGCTGCCCAGAGTGGCTGGGGTAACTCAGCCAGATGGGCGGGGTATTAATAATAATAATAATAATTATTATTATTATTATTATTATTATTATTATTATTTAGCTCCAAGGCCTTCAAAAGGCTTACCTCGGGCTGTTTTGCAGATGACTCCCATGGTGACGTTGGAGCAGGAGCCCAAGTGCCACACCCCGTTGCTGCTCTGGATCCAGTAGCAGCTGTTTTGGCTGAGCATGCTGGGTCCCGTGTCATCCTGCCCCCAGTTAGAATAGTTCACCGCCATGTTGTCATGCCAGACAAGTGTGCCCCCTGCAGAGGAAGGAGAAACATGCTGTGGGGTGGCGGGGTAGGGGGAGAGGGAGAGGGAGGGAGCACCTCTGCTGGACGGCAGAAAAGGATGAAAAATTCCTTTTCCGAAAGAGGAAACAAATTGCAAGGATTACAGTGTAGTCTGCTGGGCAAAAATGGCTGGGTATAAGCCACCTAAAGGGACGCGGGTGGCACTGTGGTCTAAACCACAGAGCCTCTCGGGCTTGCCGATCAGAAGGTCGGCGGGTCGAATCCCCGTGACGGGGTGAGCTCCCGTTGCTCGGTCCCAGCTCCTGCCAACCTAGCAGTTCGAAAGCATGTCAAAATGCAAGTAGATAAATAGGTACCACTCCGGCGGGAAGGTAAACGATGTTTCTGTGCGCTGCTCTGCTTCGCCAGGAGCGGCTTAGTCATGCTGCCCACATGACCCCAGAAGCTGTCTGCGGACAAACGCCGGCTCCCTCAGCCAGTAAAGCGAGATGAGCGCCACAACCCCAGAGTCGTCCGCAACTGGACTTAACTGTCATGGGTCCTTTACCTTTTTTTTATAAGCCACCTATCTATGTTTAGAAATGCTTTTAAATAAATGTGATTGCATATTTCCCCCATTTATCAACTGTTTCCATTTCCCTCTCCTTCTGCTGTTTCCCCTGGGTGCAGATTATAGATTTTAAATTATAGACTTTTATGCATAGGAATCAAAGTGGCCAAGATCCATATGCGGGGTCAAACTGGACTGCTCCTCAGCCTCAGTCAGGCATAGGCAAACTCGCCCCTCCAGATGTTTTTGGGACTACAACTCCCATCATTCCTAGCTAACAGGACCAGTGGTCAGGGATGATGGGAATTGAAGTCTCAAAACATCTGGAGGGCTGAGTTTGCCTATGCCTGGTCTCAGTTCATGTATTAACGCCACCCTTCATTTATCGCACCAAACTCTCCCTCCTCACTGCTCTTCATTTCCTACAACGATAACGTGCTGTTAACTACATGCCAATCAGTCAAGACATTGCCAGCCTTACCTTTGGGGTTAAAGGCCATCCCCAGCCAAGCTCCTTTGGATTGGCTCTCATAAGCCTGAAGATGCTCCCACACGAATAGGTTCTCGATCTCGTCTAGGATGGACAGCACCGTACCTCCAACTGTGGGGGAAGCGGGAGATGATGGAACAGGAGAAGAAACAGATGCACAAGCCTGAGAGTTTTACTGGGCAAGAAGAGTACAGCCGAGAGGCTCTCGCACTGTGCATTTTCTGAACGACACCCTCGTTCACGTGAAGGAAGCTCCAATTTTGTCACCAGAATAAAAAAAATAAAATGCAAATTAAGCACCCCTTTTCATATATTCATTTTATCTGTAAGGTGCGCCAATATTACTCTCCCTCGTGTTGGGAGAAAGGATGCTGTTTCTGTGTGTCATGAGAACGAGAGGTGGGATTTGACGCAGGTAATTCTTATTCATTCCTCGATCTCTTACACATTGCGGACAAACTTCCCAAGAAAAACTTGCCAAAAACACTCATATTCAGGATACTGAGTTTGGTTGACAGAATCACAGGTGCCTGCATGTTACGTGCCTGAAGGCCGCACAAGTTTTCCCCACCTAGCTCCTGTAGTGAAACCTTCTAACCAAAGAGGACCCTTAAATGGGCAGAATAATCCCTGCCCCAGGAAAAACTCTGCCGATTGCCTTATTGCCAAACAACTGTACTTTGTTTGCTCTCCCCTCGAGCACTGGCTCCGAAGGAGAAAGAAAAGGAAAAAACGACAGTCTCTAGACTCTTAGAGTTAGCAGTTCTCTGACTTTCTAGGGAGAAAGGTGCCTGGGCTTTAGAAGAGCATGTCTGCAGCAACTGGGATTTCTACAGAAACGCATCGCCAACGGCGTGTGCACACTGTTCTGTACTAAAACAGGCACAAAGTAGGGGTGCGCAGATTCCTTCAGCTCTGGTACAGTGGTACCTCGGGTTAAGTACTTAATTCGTTCCGGAGGTCCGTTCTTAACCTGAAACTGTTCTTAACCTGAAGCACCACTTAAGCTAATGGGGCCTCCTGCTGCCGCCGTGCTGCCAGAGCATGATTTCTGTTCTCATCCTGAAGCAAAGTTCTTAACCCAAGGTACTATTTCTGGGTTAGCGGAGTCTGTAACCTGAAGCGTATGTAACCTGAAGTGTGTGTAACTCGAGGTACCACTGTATTTGGTTATTACTCTGATGTTCCATTGTTGTCGTGGGTTGTTGTCCGGGAATTGTTTGTGTGTGCTAAATATAAAGAGATGAGTCCATTAATGACTTTGCTTTCTAAAAATTATTGTCCCACCTACAAGAACTACTCCAAGGTCCCAAGTGGAGGAATAGGCAGGTAGTTGGGCAAGGACGAGGGTGGCGCTGTGGGTTAAACCATAGAGCCTAAGATCAGGCTCTATGCCGATCAGAAGGTCAGCAGTTCGAATCCCCGCGACGGGGTGAGCTCCCGTTGCTCGGTCCCTGCTCCTGCCAACCTAGCAGGTCGAAAGCACGTCAAAGTGCAAGTAGATAAATAGGGACCACTCCAGGGGGAAGGTAAAGGGCGTTTCCGTGTGCTGCTCTGGTTCGCCAGAAGCGGCTTAGTCATGCTGGCCACATGACCCGGAAGCTGTACGCCGGCTCCCTCGGCCAATAAAGCGAGATGAGCGCTGCAACCCCAGAGTCGGCCACGACTGGACCTAATGGTCAGGGGTCCCTTTACCTTTTACTGCTGCTGAATAATCCACGTCCAAGACAAATGCTGGTGTGTGCTTTAGGCACAAGGAAGGAGGAAAGAAACCAAATACAAAGAGAAAACCCAGAGCGAAAGAAAACGTGACTTTGCGCCGGAAGCCGTGTCCTAGGGCATGGGAACTGGAGCACGGTTGTTCCCTCTGAGCTTCTTAGAAGCACGTTACCTTTCTCGCATCTCTTCTTAGCTTCTTTCTGGCCCAGCACGACTTCCATGTGGAAGGCATAGCAGTGATTCCGGAAGGGGATCCAGGAAGAATCCTCCACAGATTTCGGGCAGCTCCCGTTGTACCTCCACTTGTGGGGGGAAGGGCCCCTGAAAGGGAAGAGCTGGTTAGAAGGAATGTCTGGGCCTTTTCTCCATTCAGGCTCAGGGATGACTAGAGCATCCCCTCCTGCCCCGGCCGAGTTCTCTCCCAGGTACAGTACCTGTGCTCATTTTGCAGATGGCCCCTTGGAGCTTGGTGTCGCAGCCGGCGGTCCTCCAGGTCCCATCTACATCCATGTATGCGCACCCCACAAGCTGCTGCGGTTCTCCAGCCTGCCAGTTTGTGTAGGAAAGGCTCTCCTCTGTGAACCACGTGTAGCTTCGCCTCCCCTAAAAGCAACCCAGTAAACCAATAAAAGATCGGCCAAGTCGGACCAGACAGAATAAGATTTCTGAGGGGGGAGCTTGTATAACCGGGACTGGATGGAGATAAAATCCAAGTGATCAGGAGGGTGCACTTGTAAGGCTTGTGAAATATTCTGGATTTGTTCGATACCCTGTCCTGCACGGGTAGTTTATCTTAAGATGTTTCAGGAGTAGGATCCAGCTCTGAAAGCACCCCTTTTCCAGTGACTCGCGGCTTACACTTGGTCCCACCTTGCCACTCTTGGTGTCAGGCTTCAGAGAATCCTATCCCTCCCACGATGGCAGCCAAGAAGCTGATACGCAATAAAAGTTCTTACCAAGTAGTTTATTCAATAGTCACAGAGAGAGACGAAGGAATGGGGTCTCCCCTACATAATGGCGTTGCTCCAAGTAAAGTCCCACCCCCTACGTCTCTCCTATTCTCCGTCACCCCTGCGTCGGCTAATCTGAGATTTCTGTCTCTGAGCTTTTTGTTCTACTACCCTCAATGCTCGTCTGGTCCTGGGAGTGGGGGGTCAGGAATGCTTTCCAAAGACACGGAGTCTGTCAGCTGTCTCTCCCCTGGTGCTGCTTCATCCTGCTGTTCCTCTCCCAATATTTCCCATCTTCTCCCCTCTGCAGCCTCTGAACTGTGACCTTCTGCAAACCACTGTTGTAAATCTATACAATGGTACCTCTAGATACGAACGGGATCCGTTCCGGAGCCCCGTTCGCATCTAGAGGTAAACGTAACTAGCAACGGCACGTCTGCGCGCATCGCTTTTTGCCGCTTCTGCGCATGACACCGTTTTGAGCGTCTGTGCATGCGGCGAAACCCGGAAGTAACGCGCTCTGTTACTTCCGGGTTGCCGCGGAGCGCAACTCGAACACGCTCAACTCGAAGTGTATTTAACCTGAGGTATGACTGTAGTGTCCTTCTGTTCTCGGAAAGGTTCAGGAGAAGGGAGGGTGCGGTCCCCACCATTCCTCCTCAGTCCGGTCCCTGACACTTGAGCTCCCATCCAGGACGGTGCATTGTAGGTCATTTGACCTCTGCAGCTCTGGCTACTGGCTCTAGCAACTGTGCCACTCCCAACTCTGATCCCCACCTGTCCGCCAGTACTGGCCCAAGACACTTTGCCGCCTGAAGCAGAGCCCAAAAGCCTACCAGGGCCAACAATGTCAAAAAGGTCTTGCTATACCACTTGGACACTGATGCCTGCCTTCATCTAGTGGAGCTGTCTGAAGCAGGAGCACCGCCCTGGCAAACGGCAGGGCCGGCCCTGCTTCCCTTGCTCTCGCAGCTCTGTCTTCTCCAGCCCCCCTGACTGCCTTACCTCCTCTTTGGACAAGCCAATCCAGAGCGGGGTCTGCAGGCTGCTCACTGCTTGGGTGAGGAAAGCCTGAGTGTACGGCTCCGTCATGCTCGCCAGGCTTGTGTTGAGGCTCTCGCACAGGAGCATGGCTTCCTGCCACCTGAGAGGCTTCTGCAGGATGCGGTAAGTGCTGTTGAAGTACGAGAGGGTGGAGTTGGAAGCAGGGGGGGAGGTTGCTGGGGAAGGGCTCAGGGCAGGATCTGGGAGTGGGAGAAAGAAAGAGGACCAGAGATCCTTAGAACTGGAATAACCGTAGCTTGCACTTCCATCCCACCCTGCCCCAGAGCCATTAACGTAGCAGTATTGGTTTAATTCAGATGCATACTGGAGCTTTTTGAACACCACTCAAATGTGTTTTTTAATAAATAATAATAATAATAATAATAATAATAATAATAGTAGTTTATTTATATCCTGCCCTCCCCAGCCAAAGCCGGACTCAGAGCGGCTAACAACAATAAAAGTAACACAGCATTCTAAAATCAATTCATTCTAAAATTAATTCAGAATCAAATTAATGGCAACCACTGGGCTAGAGTTCTATGAGGGTTACCAAAGGAGGGGGTCAGACTCTGCCTTGGCCAAAGGCCTGGTGGAACAGCTCTGTCCTGCAGGCCCTGCGGAAAGACGTCAAGTCCCACAGGGCCCTAGTCTCTTGTGACAGAGCGTTCCACCAGATCGGGGCCACGGCCGAAAAAGCCCTGCTCTGGTTGAGGCCAGCCTAACCTCTCTGTGGCCTGGGACCTCCAAGATGTTTTTGTTTGAAGACCGTAAATTCCTCTGTGGGACATACCAGGAGAGGCGGTCCCGTAGGTACGAGGGTCCTAGGCCGTATAGGGCTTTAAAGGTTAAAACCAGCACCTTAAACCTGATCCTGTACTCCACCGGGAGCCAGGTGTGTTCCCTCCCGACTCTTTCTACCACCAGCCATTTCTTTCTGCTTTTTCACTCGCAGCTCTTTGCCGGGAGGTCCGAGAAACAGTGGCACCTTGGATAATTGCCAAGGCACATTAATCCTCCCACAGCTGCAGCCCGCCTGACCCTTCCCTTCCCCCGGGTCCCCGCCTGCATCTTTCCTGCACTCTTACCTTTCCTCCTCTGGCAGATGAAGGCATTTTTCTCCTCCAGGCAATTCCTGTCATCCCAGCGGCCGGTGAACTGGGGCGGGATGCCATGCCAAACCACAGCGCAGTTGGTCTGAGAGAGAGAGAACCAGGAGCGTCAGTCACTCACCTGTGCCCACAGTGGGAAGGCTGTTCACCGCACGCCATCAGCTGGAGCAGCGCGCAAGGCTCCATCCAGTCGTGAGGGTATGCAGTTGCAAAAGACCTTATTTTTCGCTCCATAAGACACACTTTTTCCCTCTTAAAAACTAAGGGGAAATGTCTGTGCGTCTTATGGAGCGAATGTGTGGTCCCTGGGGCTGGGGGAGGGGGGGAACTGGGCTTCCCCTGCAAGCTCCGGGAGTGGAAGCAAGGCTGTGAGCAACCTTGCCGCCACTCCCGGACCTGTTCTGGGGGCTGGGGTCGGGGGAAACTTGGGCTTCCCCCGCCCCAGCCCCGTGGCTAAAAAGGAAGCCAAGACAGCGAGCGGGATCCATCCCGCTCGCTGTCTTGGCTTCTTTGCTCTTTGGGGCTGGGGGGGGGAACCCGGGCTCCCCCCGCAGCCCTGAGAAGCTCTGGGAGAAGCGGACAGGCTGCATGCAGCCTGTCCTCCGCTGCTCTTTGGGGCTGGGGAAAAAAATAATTCCCCCCCATTGATTTCCCCCTCTAAAAACTAGGTGCGTCTTGTGGTCTGGTGCGTCCTATAGAACGAAAAATACGGTACCTCCACACGCAACAACCCCTCACAACTGTTGCAAATCTGCAGCTGGCGCAGAACGCCGGCACCCAGTTGAGGACAGACACTAAATATTTCTGCAGAACTCACTGGCAACAAGATGTTTCATTGGCCTCTAGTATGCCATCAAAGGATACTGTCGGCATCCGTCTGTCTCGGGAGGCAATGGAGTGTGCCTCTGTGGGTGAAATCAAACCGCTGCGTTGGCACCTAAGTGACCTCCCTGGGGTGCAAGCCTGGGCTGTGTATATGAAGGTCCTGAGCTGCCCGGATGATAAGACGCCCGCCCCACCGCAGCCTTGTTGGTGTGGCCCAGGGTGATGTTAGAGGGGGAGGGCTGGCCCATTTGGCATCGCAAAGATTGAGACACGACAAGCACTTTTGCTGTCTGTTTTCACAGCAACAACAAAAAGCCGTCTACTCAAACTGCTTTAAGAAGCTTCCGAGGGCCGCCAAGACAGCCTTGAGGGCCACGTGTTGGACCACCCAGATTGAAAAGGTATTGGCAGAGGAAACAAAGGGAGGAATAGCTCGGTTGGTTGGAGCACGGTGATGATAATGCCAAGGTTGCAGGTTCGATTCCCGGATGGGACAGCTGCATATTCCTGCATTGCAAGACGATCCTCAGGGTCCCTTTCCAATTCTACAATTCCATGAAACACACAGTAAAGGTAAAAGTAAAGGGGACCCCTGACCAATCAGGTCCATTAGCTGCCATTAAGTCAAGACTGCAGTGTTGAGAGTCTTCAAGGTATTGTGAATTCCAACACACCCTGGCCTGATCCTACTTCCCAGACTGATGTGCAGATCAAAATTTAATTATTCTTCATATTTCATACACCTCCAGATTTTGCTATGTTGCTCTCAGCTCAAAAAGCATTCCAAAAATATGATGAAAAATTCATAGGGTGGCCTAAGATACATTTAAGGTAAAGGTACCCCTGACCATTAGGTCCAGTTGTGAACGACTCTGGGGTTGCGGCGCTCATCTCGCTTTACTGGCCGAGGGAGCCGGCGTACAGCTTCTGGGTCATGTGGCCAGCATGACTAAGCCGCTTCTGGCGAAAAAGAGCAGCGCACGGAAACGCTGTTTACCTTCCCGCCGGAGTGGTACCTATTTATCTACTTGCACTTTGACGTGCTTTTGAACTGCTAGGTTGGCAGGAGCAGGGACCGAACAACGGGAGCTCACCCCGTCGCGGGGATTCGAACCGCCGACCTTCTGATCGGCAAGTCCTAGGCTTTGTGGTTTAACCCACAGCGCCACCCGCCCCCCTCTATGAAACACACAGCATCCCCACAAAAATATGAGGCTCCCCAAAGAGATAGCTACAAAACGGGGTGAGGGGATCTCCCAGGGTTTGGCTCACCGGGTTCTCACTAGCTGTGGCTGCCCCACATCCAGAGGGCTCACCAGGACCCCAGTTCACAAAGCTGACCGGCTCAGCTTCCACCCACTGGAACTCCTTCTTTGCGTCCTGGAGGCCGATCCACAGGTCAGAGGTCACATTTGGAAGGAGAGTGGTTATAAAGGCTGTAAGTGGGAAGAAGGGCACGTTACTGGAGGAAGTCAGATGAAGGTGCAAAGCTTTGTTTACATAGGGACTAGAGGCCTACAAAGCCAGAGTTCAGTTTTGCCATCAAGTGTTTCCACTAAAAAGAGACGTCGCAGGGCCCTCTAACTGCCTCCAAGGTGGGCGACGGAAAGGCAACGCTTATTCAGTGGGTGAGGGAAGTACATTCTGTCCTTTCTCAGAGGCACTCTGTTCTCTATTAGTCCTTCATATATTACATGGGTAGGCAAACTTAAGGCCCGGGGGCCAGATCCAGCCCAATTGCCTTCTCAATCCGGCCTGCAGACGGTCCGGGAATCAGCGTGTTTTTACATGAGTACAATGGGTGCTTTTATTTAAAATGCATCTCTGGGTTATTTGTGGGGCATAGGAATTTGTCCTTTTTCTTTCTTCCACAAAATATAGTCCGGCCCCCCACAAGGTCTGAGGGACTGTGGACCGGCCCCCTGCTGAAAAAGTTTGCTGACCCCTGATATATTATGATGGACTGTTCTAATTTTCTTGCAATCACTCCAATAATACGGCGATGGTTTTATTTATACCCCGCCCATCTGGCTGGGTTGCTCCAGCCACTCTGGGCGGCTTCCAGCACATATAAAAAATGACAAAACGTCAAACATTAAAAACTTCCTGATACAGCGCTGCCTTCAGATGTCTTCCAAAAGTTATTTAGTTCTTTATCTCCTTGACATCTTAAGGGAGGGTGTTCCACAGGGAGGGCGCCACTGCCGAGAAGGCCCTCAAACCAAGGGTCCAGTCCAGTCCAGTGTTCAGGACAATAAGTCCACAGATTAGCCTTTCATATGTTCAGGCAAATGCCTGAATGATCCTTGGGTTTTCTTCGGCTCATGAAGACACTTGCCTGGGGCCAAAAGCGGATCAGTTCCCAGAGGCGAGGTGAGGCAATGTGTGTGTGTGTGTGTGTGTGTGTGCGCGCGCACACATGCATGAACACACACACAGTTGTCTTGTGAACAAAGGGCCCTTACCTTGCTCAACGTAATTGGAGATGGTTGCCAGCACGCCCCCCTGAATCTCACACCTTCGCTTCGCCTCTTGCCAGGTTACCTGCTCTTCGCTGTTAATCCTAAAGCACTGCATTATAAAATTGACAGAAAAGGAGATTTATAAACAGCAGACATTTCAGGCAAGGTATTTCCCCTCCTACGGGACGCGGGTGGCGCTGTGGGTTAAACCTCAGCGCCTAGGACTTGCCGATCGCATGGTCGGCGGTTCGAATCCCCGCGGCGGGGTGCGCTCCCGTTGCTCGGTCCCACCGCCTGCCAACCTAGCAGTTCGAAAGCACCCCCGGGTGCAAGTAGATAAATAGGGACCGCTTACTAGCGGGAAAGTAAACGGCGTTTCCGTGTGCGGCTCTGGCTCGCCAGAGCAGCGATGTCACGCTGGCCACGTGACCCGGAAGTGTCTGCGGACAGCGCTGGCTCCCGGCCTATAGAGTGAGATGAGCGCACAACCCTAGAGTCTGGCAAGACTGGCCCATACGGGCAGGGGTACCTTTACCTTTACTATTTCCCCTCCTGTGACTTTATAATAATAATATAATAATAATAATTTATTATTTATTCCTCAGCCACTCTGGGCGACTTCCAACAAAATATTAAAATAAAATATTCTGTTAAACTTTAAAAGCTTCCCTAAACAGGGCTGCCTTCAGATGTCTTCTAAAAGTCTGGTAGTTGTTTTTCTCTTTGACATCTGGTGGGAGGGCGTTCCGCAGGGCGGGCGCCACTACCGAGAAGGCCCTCTGCCTGGTTCCCTGTAACTTCTCACAGCGAGGGAACTGCCAGAAGGCCCTCAGAACTGGGCTTTCACATTTATTTTATGTATTTTCAGTTTTATCCCATCCTTTCCTCCCCAAAAGCTCAAGATGGTTTCCCCTCTCCGCAACGATACCATGAGTTAAGAAGGTAAAAAATATCAAGGCATTTGAGAGAAGGGGAAATCGAACTACACAAAACTACGCAGACAGACTTGCAATATGAAACAGCTATCTACAGTGGTGCCCCGCAAGATGAATGCCTCGCAAGACGAAAGGGTTTTCCATTTTTTGAGTCGTTCCGCAAGACAAATTTCCCTATGGGCTTGCTTCGCAAGACGAAACGCCTTGCGAGTTTGTTTCCTTTTTCTTAAAGCCGCTAAGCTGCTAATAGCCGCTAAGCCGTTAATAGCCACTAAGCCGCTAATAGCCATGCTTCGCAAGATGAAAAAACCGCAAGACGAAGTGACTCACGGAACGGATTAATTTTGTATTGCGAGGCACCACTGTATCTGAAATCTCACTCCTCTAAGCTAGGCTGATGGACTGTGATTTGAACCCATGTCTCGTCAGTCCTAGATGTGACACTCAATATACTACCCTCCACACTCTCATACGTTCACGAACAGGAGGGGGAAATTAAATGGGTAAGTGGTTTCTGAACCAGGAATGTCAATCAGCCAAATTTCTGCCCTTCTACATACTCCACTGGAGTTATTTCCGCACCACCACCCATCCAGTTCAAGGGGGACCTGGCACACAAACATTCCTGGCAGACTCCCTCCCCCCTTCAAGAATGATGATGCTCAGTTCCAGGGAAAGCACTTCCAAGTACCTTATTGCCGACAGCATGCCAGCCCTGGGCACAGCTGCCAGGAGTAGGTGCTGGCAGGGGTGGCAAGGAGCCTGTGGTAATATTGGTGCGCTTGCAGATGTAAGGCAGAGCAGTAAAACACTTCTGGTCGCCCCAGTCCTCTGCAGAAGGAGAGAAAGAAGATACGAGAGCAGATTCTGTATTTTGCTTGGTTACAATGGCACTCTCAAAGTAAGAAACAGAGCCATCTCAAAGTACAGTGCTACCTTGGGTTACATACACTTCAGGTTACAGACTCCAGAAATAGCTAACCCAGAAATAGTACCTGGGGTTAAGAACTTTGCTTCAGGATGAGAACAGAAATCGTGCTCCGGCGGTGCAGCGGCAGCAGGAGGCCCCATTAGCTAAAGTGGTGCTTCAGGTTAAGAACAGTTTCAGGTTAAGAACGGATCTCCGGGGAAGAAATGCCCACGAGAGAAGAATGGAGAATGAAATTGATGGAACACGCAGAAATGGATAGACTAACGGGCAGAATTAGGAATCAAAGAGACCAGAGATTCACCGAGGACTGGAAGAAATTTACAGAGTATATAAAAAATGTTTGTGATGAACAATTAGTACTTGTTGGTTTTCAAGAAGCCCTGTGAAAAATATTGATAGAAATATTGCTTAAAAAATATGATATGATTAAGATTGTTAGAGTGCAATATAAAATTGAGAAATGTGAGATGAAGAGATAACACGGAGAATTGTCAGACATGCTGATGGAAGTCTAAAAGAATGATTAAGTGAGAACTGGATGTTTAATTCTGTACAAATCTATGTTGGAAAATTAATAAAAAAAATAGCGTGAAAAGAAAAGAAAAGAAAGAACTGACCTCTGGAACAAATTAAGTACTTAACCTGAGGTACCACTGTAAGAAACAGCAGCCATCACAGCCTGTCCCAACATTTTGTATAAAAAAATTCCAACGCAGAAAACCCCAAACTTGGGTCAGGTTTCTTTTTGGGGCACAACATTCTTTTATCTAGCTGTCCAATTGTTGTTGTTTTTTAAAATGGTGAGTGTTCATGTACAGTGGTACCTTGCTTCTCAAACTAAATCCGTTCTGGGAGTCCGTTCGACTCCTGAAACGGTTCAAAAACCAAGGCGCGGCTTCCGATTGGCTGCAGGAGCTTCCTGCACTCAATCAGAAGCTGCGGAAGCCACGTCGGACATTCAGCTTCCGAAAAATGTTGCCAAACAAGATCACTCACTTCTCGGTTTGTGGCGTTCGGGAGCTGATTTGTTCAGGAGCCAAGCCATTCAGGAACCAAGGTACCACTGTATTATAACTCTAAAGACTAGGCAACTGCTTAAAAACAACATCACAATAATAAGTTAGGACGCCAGTGATCTTAACATTTCCACTGCCTACCCTATACAGTGGTACCTCGGGTTAAGTACTTAATTCGTTCCAGAGGTCCGTTCTTAACCTGAAACTGTTCTTAACCTGAAGCACCATTTTAGCTAATGGGGACTCCTGCTACTGCCGGGCGGCCGGAGCACGATTTCTGTTCTCATCCTGAAGCAAAGTTCTTAACCTGAAGCACTATTTCTGGGTTAGCGGAGTCTGTAACCCGAAGCGTATGTAACCTGAAGCGTATGTAACCCGAGGTACCACTGTGTGTTTTCAGGGACATCAGCCAGAAGTTCAGGGTTTGATGGGTTTCTGGAGGGATGGAATATTTTTTAGGAATTATCAGGAGGCTGGTCTGAGCTGATCAGACCAGAGACTGCAAAGGGCCATAGGGAAGAATGTTGATCTGTAAACTGATTAGGAATATCAGGCCAATGTCTGCATGCCCATTACCCACCTCGGCTAGCGGTCATGTACACACACTTCCTGTCCTTGGTGGTAGGCCGAGGCTTTCCTGGTGCCCACGAGACGAAGTTCAAGAGAGAATAATCAGACCACCTGGAGATGGCAAACAACACATTGGGGAGGTTTCCGCATTTTGAACACAAGCAGGAATCTAAGACACACCAAAAATTGCTTCTAGGACAGAAGACACTTAATAGAGAGACTCACCGAAATCGTCCATCATTCTCATAGGTGCTCAGTCCAATCCACCAGTGCTGCTCCTGTCCCCTTGAAAACTGGCCAAAGGAGGAATTATACGCAATAATGTCAAGGGGGAGAATGAAAAGACTGTCCTAGCAACCTTGATCTTCGGATTGCCTCCCACCAGGCACTTTTTGTGTAACGATACCAACATGGAGTCCCAACACCTTTTGTTTTTGCCTGCGCATAGCAGTCATTTTGTTCTAGCACCCACTACCTACCCTACAGAATTGCTGCCTAACCACTGCTGTCCATGCACCAGTGACCGCAAGGCTGGATCACTACAATGCACATTGTGTGGGGCTGCCCTTGGCCCTGGTCTGGAAACTCTAGCTGGTGCGGAATGCAATGGCTATGGGAACACATAGCTGCCAACACGTGACATGACAGGTTCAAGGTCCTTGTATTGATTTAAGGTAAAAGTAAAGGGACCCCTGACCATTAGGTCCAGTCGTGGCCGACTCTGGGGTTGCGGCGCTCATCTCGCTTTATTGGCCGAGGGAGCCAGCGTACAGCTTCCGGGTCATGTGGCCAGCATGACAAAGCCGCTTCTGGCGAACCAGAGCAGCACACAGAAATGCCGTTTACCCTTCCCACCAGGGCGGTACCTATTTATCTACTTGCACTTTGACGTGCTTTCAAACTGCTAGGTTGGCAGGAGCAGGGACCGAACAACAGGAGCTCACCCCGTCACGGGGATTCGACCGCTGACCTTCTGATCGGTAAGTCCTAGGCTCTGTGGTTTAACCCACAGTGCCACCCGTGTCCCAGACTTGTCTTGATTTACACAGCACTGAAAAAGGTAGGTCCAGGGTGCTTCAGGGGTCACCTGAACACCTTCTAAAATTATTATTATTTAAAGCCCTAAACAGCCTCGGCCCTGTATACCTGAAGGAGCATCTCCACCCCCATCGTTCAGCCCAGACACAGAGATCCAGCTCCAAGGGCCTTCTGGCGGTTCCCTTCCTGCGAGAAGTGAGGTTACAGGGAACCAGGCAGAGGGGCCTTCTCGGTAGTGGCGCCCGCCCTGTGGAATGCCCTCAAGGAAATGAACAACTATCTGAGTTTTAGAAGACATCTGAAGGCAGCCCTGTTTAGGGAAGTTTTTAATGTCTGATGTTTTGTTGTATTTTTAATATTATGTTGGAAGGTGCTCAGAGATGGGCGGGAAATATTATTATTATTATTATTATTATTATTATTATTATTATTATTATTATTTCCAAGCTCAATCACTGAGGTCATCTGTAGTTGTCCCATGAGTTGGTGAGGCTCATCTGATTATCAACCCCAAACCGAATCAGCATGCACCTTCTATGCTAACTGTCAAATGTTTGCAGGGAAGTTTTCTTTGCTGCCCAGCTTACAGGGACTATTAAGTATCCATAATAGCTGATTATCCATTTTAATTTTTATTTCCGTTCTTACTGTATTTAATTATAAAGAGCTTTGAAACTTTAAATTGCAGCAGACAAGTATTTTTATATATCAAATAAAGAAATGAAGAGCACTTGGAATACAACAACAAAGCTGTGTTTATTGTTATTTTTATTATTATTATTATTATTATTACTGGTTATTGCTGTGTGAAACACTAACTGGGAGGAGAAGGTCATAAGCAGCAGCTGACTATGCTTTTGCTACCATCTTGAAAAAAAATTCTTTAGGCAGGCCTTTAACTTGTCTAGTCAATTATGTTATGCTGCTCTTGTGTGTAGAACAATATACATATATTCGTAAACTAAAAGAAATTTATTTCAAACCCTTGCAATAGCCCTGTGAGCTTCCGCTCTAGAAAAGGTTGAGAGCTTGATGCTGTCTAACTGCAGCTAGGCCAAAATTTTAAATCCCTTCATTGTTTTCTGTATGCAGTTCTCACTTTTGTCTGGGAAGGAAATAACAAGCATCTGAAGGAATTGGGCCAGAAAGGCTTCGATTCTATAAATTAATAGTAGAAACAAAGTACCAGGATTCCAAGACCCTTCTGAGGAGAATTTGCTAAGTGAAAAAAATGAAAGATGGCAACCACTTAATAGTAATTTTAACATATCTTTCCTTCTAGAATGGATTCCCTGACACCCTAATACCCATATTTATACACCAAAAGCACATTCCTTAGACTTCTGTCAGGGAAAATGTATTAAGATTATTGTAAGTTGGAGGCCATCTTGCATTTCTCACCTAGTAAATTTTCCTTAAATCTTTGGGAAGACCCAATTTAGACCCAACTAATCGTTAATGTTCCCTTCCTGCCTGAAGGTCCCTGCCACAACCGGATGGGATTTTTAAAATTGTTTCCTTTTTGGCCCAAACCCATTGCCATTCCAGGTGGCTCCCTACCTTCTTCAAGTTCTGACCCAGGAAGTCCAGCTCAGCTTGATTGTGAATTGACACCAGCTCGGCTTGGAACCAAGTGCAGATCCTCTGAGCCTGCACCCAAGTTGAATGATGGTCAAAGAACTTGTACTCAGCATCTTGGTATTTCACCCACTCATTGCTCGCTGTGGAGAAACGGGATGTGTTAAGAGACCCTGGGGAAACTTGGTGCTTTCCAGGTGGAGATTACTTAAGGCAGCTAATACCACCAAAACCTCATATTTCCCTTAGATGCCCCCTATTAGAAGAGCTTCAGGATCTGTCCTTCAGGACAGATCCTAAGGCTGAGACTCCAATACTTTGGCCACCTCATGAGAAGAGAAGACTCTCTGGAAAAGACCCTGATGTTGGGAAAGATGGAGGGCGCAAGGAGAAGGGGACGACAGAGGACGAGATGGTTGGACAGTGTTCTTGAAGCTACCAGCATGAGTTTGACCAAACTGCGGGAGGCAGTGGAAGACAGGAGTGCCTGGCGTGCTCTGGTCCATGGGGTCACGAAGAGTCGAACACGACTAAACGACTAAACAACAACAACAATATCAGAAGAGCTGCAACTCTTCCAAGTGTCAACGCAGCTATCTAGTCAACCTAATTCTCTTCCAACAGAGACTCAGAAGGCACATTCTATGTTTGCTTACGCAGACGGGTTGACCAAACTGTGTAGATTCTAACACAGTACCATGTTTGTTCATTAGGTAAAAAGGTAAAAGGTAAAGGACCCCTGGACATTTAAGTCCAGTCAAAGGCGACTATGGGGTTGCAGCGCTCATCTCGCTTTCAGGTCGAGGGAGCAGGCGTTTGTCCTCAGACAACTTTCCGGGTCATGTGGCCAGCAGGACTAAGCCGCTTCTGGTGCAACGGAACACCGTGACGGAAACCATGTTTACCTTCCTGCCACAGCGGTACCCATTTATCTATTTGCACTGGCGTGCTTTCAAATTGCTAGGTTGGCAGAAGCTGGGACAGAGGTTCTCAAACGCCTCGGAACTCAAACGCCAAAAACTAAGAAATAAGTGTTTCAGATTTTGAACATTTCTCAGAAGCTGAACATCCATTGCAGCTGTCAGCTATTGTTTCCAGGGCGCCTGCACCAAACAGAAGCTGCGCCTTGGTTTTTGAACATTTTGGAAGTCAAACAGTGCAGGTAAGAAAAAAAATCAATTTTATTTTTTATCATCTACAATACTGTCTTTTTATTTTATGGTACAGTACATTGATTATTGCTTTCATTTTATGGATCAGTGGTCTCATTAGATAGTAAAATCCATGTTAAATTGCTGTTTTAGGGGTTGTTTTTAAAAGACTGGAACAGATTAATCCTGGGGTCATGAATTTCACAGGTTAATGATGTGTTGTGTAAAGAATCACTGCTTGTTTTTCTTAAACCTGTTTGGGGAGGTTTTTAATGTTTGATGTTTCATTGTATTTTAGTATTTTGTTGGAAGCCGCCCAGAGTGGCTGGGGAAACCCAGCCAGATGGGTGGGGTATAAATAAAATTATTATTATTATTATTATTATTATTATTCCTATCAGTTTCAAGAGCAGGTGCCCCAGGCGTTGAGGCTGGGGGATGAATGTCTCCACTATTTGTTTCTGAAAATATTTATAGCCTGCTCTGGATCGCACTGATCTCTGAGCAGGGCACACAATTCATTCAAAACGTTTACGCGAATATAACAGGAGCAGGCAAAAGTATAAATCACTGCGTCTGACTCAAAATGCAGAGCTGCAAATGCCATTATGTTAGGCTGCAGAATTAACAATTCATAAAGACCCTGAGAGAATAACCAGGTCTTAACCTGGCACTGAAAGAAAGCCAAAGTTAGCACTAGCCAGACCTCATGGGATCTCAGTTTTTCCACATCACTCATGGTTTTCGTAAACCTCCGTCACATTATGCATGCACAAATACACAAACACACACACACACACATACACAGCCCTGCTGCCTTTTTCCTACATCAAAAACATTCTTTTCTTCAGTAAGATAAATAATCAGAAGTCATGATGGTTCAGTCGCCCTGTTTTCCATGCTGCCTCCAGCACAGCTATTCTATTTCTAGACCTGGATGAAGCTAGGTACATGAGTGCAGGCTTCTTAAACTCATACTTGACCTCTGCAAGCCTATAGCTGAGAGGGATCCAACTCTATCTATTCAGTTAGCTGATATTTCTGTTGTCTGCTTTTGACATAAGCTTGGGATAACACATAACTCCCTTTCCCAGGGACATAGCCCACATTCCCAACTGCAGACCCCACATCGCCTCAGCTGAGAGAGCAAGGGGCAGTGCCACATAAGACTGGCGGCAACCCTTGAGAGAGCTTGACCAATCAGGGAGCGGTCTCCATGCCTCTGTTATCACCAGGCAGACTTACTCCTTCAGATTGCCTTCTGGCTGTCTGCCAAACCTTAATTGACTCTGTGTAAGTGGCTGCACGTACACAGTTTCCCAACAAACCTTTCTCAAACTTTTGGGTCCCCAGGTGTTGTTGGACTACAACTCCCATCATCCCTGACCACTGGTCCTGCTAGCTAGGGATGATGGGAGTTGTAGTCCACCTGGGGACCCAAGTTTGAGAAACACAGCTCTAAAAGCACAATGCCAACAGCGCAGTATAACAGAGGCGGGAAGTTGGCACCGTGTTTCCTCTAGCTTGCATGCATCCAGAAAACACACACATACACACTTGTTTTTTGCGTCCACAAATCAAGGAGTACAGGGCGAGGGTGGAGACAGAGTGATCTCTGCCCAAAAGAGGCTTTGCCACATGGGATGAGGGGGGCGGAAATATTCACTCACCTTGAACGGTTGTCTCTGGCTCTTTCACATCAGTGCCTATTAAACAACAGCACACGATCAGCAAGTGAGCAAGGGAGATTGCGCTGGGCCTGGCCCAGAATTCATTTCAGTTCCTGATTCAGGAAAAAAGGCTCCTTCAGGAAAGTAAGATATTCCCCCTATCCTTTCTGTACTGCAATCCCTGCTGGTTATGAAGGAGGAGCAACCCTCGTCCTTTGTTTATTGGAACGCGGCTACTTGTCTTTATACACATTCAACCATGTATCAAAGAAATAATGAAACATTAATTTTTTAAAAAATCAGAAAGGGTTAGATTGTGGAGAGAGGGTGGAAGTCAAACACAGACACCAGAAGGAAGACAGAATGTCCCTGGGAGGTTCAGTAATCTTAGTATGAACTAGTGGTGCTGAGAAACTCTGTTATTCTAAAAATATTAACATACCCATTAAGTAGGGACACCAAGTTATCTTGGGAAGATAATCCTATTTGAGGAACTGACAAGAAACAGATGCACTTAATACAACAATCTTTATACACCTCACACTCGCGTAGAAATTTGCCATGCTCAGGGCAGCTTATAGCGTTTTTACAAAACGGTAACATAGACTGAAACATTAGTCATGCAATCAACGGCAGCAAAAATAAACAGCAGTAAAAATGAAAGCAGGCACCAAACCCCAATAAAAAAGCCCCAAAGAGGTCAGCCACAAAAGAGTCCTCAACCTGGCAGGGCAAATGGTATTAAAATTACCGTATTTTTCGCTCTATAAGACACACTTTTTCCCCTCCAAAAATTAAGGGGAAATATGTGTGCATCTTATGGAGTGAATGCAGGTTCCATGGCTTCAGCGATAGCAACGCGAAGCCTCCGAAACACAGTGGGAGTGCTCCCGCCGCGCTCCGGAGGCTTCAGGGATAGCCGCCTGAAGCCTGAGGGGTCATGGCGCACCGACCCCTCTCGCTCTCCAGGCTTCAGCAAAAGCAATGCGAAGCCTCCGGAGTGCAGTGGGCACTCCCGCTGCACTCCAGAGGCTTCAAGCAGCTATCCCTGAAGCCTGGAGAGCTAGAGGCGTCGGTGCGCACCAATCCCTCTTGCTCTCCTGGGTTTGTTTCACTGGAGAGGCACCGCGCAGCTTTCCCTCTTTGCGCAGCACCCCTTCAGCGAAGCGGGGGGAGAAATGGAAGGGGCTCCATTTCTCATGCCGCTTCGCTGAAGGGGCGCTGCACAGATAGGGAGAGATTTTTTTTTCTTGTTCTCCCCCTCTAAAATATAGTCGGGTGCGTCCTATAGAGCGAAAAATACGGTAACTCATAGCACACTGTGGTGACCTATGAAGATATTAAGCCCTCCTGAAGCCCAGGCAAGGTACTTAACTCCTTTGCTTAATGGACATTATTGATTACAGATATGTAGCCGTGTTGGTCTGCCATAGTCAAAACAAAACAAAATTCCTTCCAGTAGCACCTTAAAGACCAACTAAGTTAGTTCTTGGTATGAGCTTTCGTGTGCATGCACACTTCTTCAGATACACTGAAACAGAAGTTGCCAGATCCTTCTATATAGTGAGAAGGTGGGGAGGGGTATTACTCAGAAGGGTGGTGGGAATGGGTGATTGGCAGATAGCTGTGATGAGCCTGTTGACGACTCTTAACGACTGCAATAGGTCTTACAGGAAAAAGCAAGGGGTGAGAAGGTGAAAAATGGCTTTGTCATGTATAATGAGATAAGAATCCAATGTCTTTGTTCTGACCAGGTCTCTCCATGGTTTTAAGTTTGGTAATGAGTTGCAATTCAGCAGCTTCTCTTTCCAGTCTATTTCTGAAATTCCTTTGTAGTAAAACAGCTACTTTGAGATCTTGTATAGAATGTCCTGGGAGATTGAAGTGTTCTCCTACTGGTTTCTCTGTCTTGTGATTCTTGATGTCAGATTTATGTCCGTTTATTCTTTGGCGTAAGGTTTGGCCTGTTTGTCCAATATAGAGAGCTGAAGGACACTGTTGGCATTTGATGGCATACACAATGTTAGACGATGAGCAATTAAATAGTCCCGAGATGGTATGTGTGATGTTGTTGGGGCCAGTAATGGTGTTGTCCGGGTGTATGTGGCAGCAAAGTTGGCATCTGGGTTTATTGCAGGCTCTGGTGCCAGTGTCCGTGTTAAGTCTGGTTGTAGTATTATTGTACAACGCATCATCAGAGATCTACAACCTCTCCTGGACAATGACAGTTTTCTTTCTCAAGCTCGGGGGGGGGAAGACCTTTCATTGCCTACAGACAGCCACCCAATCTTAAACAACTCCTAACCCACAATAATACTACGAAAGCTCATACCAAGAACTAACTTAGTTGGTCTTTAAGGTGCTACCGGAAGGAACTTTTTTTTGTTTTGGACATTATTGAGTTGGCTGAACATTACCTCAAGACTCCTCCTTCAAAATCTCGCGTTTGAAGATACGTAGACATGAAAGAGGCGACTGCAAAGTTCTTTACTGTGGCTAACTCTTCCCCTCCCTGCCAACCCATCGCCATCCCAGTCACCTTTGGGCAGTTTGCAGATCCAGTCCAGTTGAGCGTCGCACTGAAGAGGCATCCACTGCAAGGATGCCAAGTCCAGCGCCGCACAGTTCCGGATGTCCTCGTCATCGTGATTGCTGCGGTCAAAGTTATGGTAGGAGAACTGAAGGCAAAAGGAGGATGGGGGAGGGCAAGTTAATGTTTGATGTATTACAGTATTTTAATATTTTTCTGGAAGCCGCCCAGAGTGTCTGGGGAAGCCCAGCCAGATGGGCGGGGTATAAATAAATTATTATTATTATTATTATTATTATTATTATTATTATTATTATTATTATTATTATTATTCCCTCAATGTCATGCTTAGTCAACTGAAGCCTTAGGTCAGGGGTCAGCAAACTTTTTCAGCAGGGGGCCGGTCCACTGTCCCTCAGACCTTGTGGGGGGCCGGACTATATTTTCTGGGGGGAAATGAACGAATTCCTATGCCCCACAAATAACCCAGAGATGCATTTTAAATAAAATCACATGCTACTCATGTAAAAACACCAGGCAGGCCCCACAAATAACCCAGAGATGCATTTTAAATAAAAGTGCACATTCTACTCAAGTAAAAACACACTGATTCCTGGACCGTCTGCGGGCCGGATTTAGAAGGCGATTGGGCCGGATTCGGCCCCCGGGCCTTAGTTTACCTACCCATGCCTTAGGATCCAACTCAGTTGAGTGCAGTGACATGAATACTTTCCTCTTTCCCCCCACCAGAAGGAATTCCCACTCCACACTGTGCTCTGCATTATCTCAAATGCATTTTCCTCTACATCAGCAACAAACAAGCTTCAAGAGAGGTCTGGGTTTCTTATGGTGGCTCCTTAACAGAAAAAGCCTTAATACATTAGTAAAAAGAGAGCCATGATTTCCAGCAAGCCACCTGACAAAATAACTCTGGTTTGTTTGTTTTTTAACGTTGGAAGTTTGCATTTATTTATTTATTTGCATCTCTAACGAATTCTGTATCGACAAAATATCAACAAAGACAGAGCAAAGAGAAAAGAATCTCTGAAATAAAGAAGAGGTGACAATTTTAAGATATCAGAGAATAGGCATCAATTCATATACTGATCTGACAAAATAACTCTTGGGACTTTTTGTCAGATTCCTATTTCTCCATCAATACACAACTCCTGGTCCTCTTTTCCCTCTAAATAACAGCAGAGGCATTCTATTTTACTTACTGATCTCCCGACAGGAGTACTTTGTTAAAACACACACACACACAAACATGCAAATCTCTGTTCTCAGTGCCTTTTGAATAGGTTGGAGTTCTTGTTCTTAAACATACCAAGAAAAAAAAGCACACCAAGAACTCGGGCCAATGTAAGTTTCAATAGTGGGAGTGGTCCCTACTCACAAGTCAATAGTCAATAGTAACAAAAACTAATCCATTCTAAAGTATGTACTGTATTCTGACAAGAATTACAAACTCAAATAAAGATTACAAATTCTAACAGAGATTACAAACTCTAACTCATAAAGATACAGTGGTACCTCAGGTTACATACGCTTCAGGTTACAGACTCCGCTAACCCAGAAATAGTACCTCGGGTTAAGAACTTTGCTTCAGGATGAGAACAGAAATCGTGCTCCGGCAGCGCGGCAGCAGCAGGAGGCCCCATTAGCTAAAGTGATGCTTCTGGTTAAGAACAGTTTCAGGTTAAGTACGGACCTCCGGAACAAATTAATTACTTAACCTGAGGTACCACTGTATGTATAACACAATAATTCGTTACAAAAAATTTTTCTTTCTAACTCAACAATAATGTTGATCCTTATCAGCTTGCAGATGGAGACTCAGTTTTAATCACAGAGCAGAAGGCAAAAGTCAATTATGGATTAGAAGCCAGGACAGGCCCTGTTTCGATGTATTCATCAGCTGGAAGTATCAAACATTACATGAAAATACGTTTAGATTCTAAATTATCATAAATTATGAAACAATCCTAAATTATAAAAAAGTATTATATACCATTTATACATATATTTATGAGTTAGCGTTTGTAATCTCTGTTAGAATTTGTAATCTTTATTGAGTCCTTGGTGTGCTTTTTTTTTTTAATAGGTTGAGCAAACCATCACTCACCCCAAGACCATCACTCCATCGCCAGCTCCTCTCAAGTCCCGGGTCCCGGCGATTCAAGCCGATCCAAAACCAATGCTGCTCATGAATTTCAGGTTCTGATGCCCTGGAAGGCATCCGAAAAGAAGATGGGTCAGTTCTTCCATGAATGTAACTGTGCAAAGACTTAATGCTTGACTAAAGCTCCCAAGGTATGTCCCCCCAGACGCCACCCCATTTTGCTATATGTGATTTGGCTCAATTGATTCAAGCTGCTTTAATAATAATAATAATAATAATAATAATAATAATAATAATAATAATTTATTATTTATACCCAGCCCATCTGGCTGAGTTTCCCCAGCCACTCTGGGCGGCTCCCAATCAAGTATTAAAAACAATACAGTGTTAAATATTAAAAACTTCCCTAAACTGGGCTGCCTTCAGATGTCTTTTAAAGATAGGATAGCTACTTATTTCCTTCACATCTGAAGGGAGGGTGTTCCACAGGGTGGGTGCCACTACCGAGAAGGCCCTCTGTCTGATTCCCTGTAAGCTCACTTCTCACAATGAGGGAACCGCCAGAAGGGCCTCGGCGCTGGATCTCAGTGTCTGGGCAGAACGATGGGGGTGGAGACACTCCTTCAGGTATACAGGGCCGAGGCCGTTTAGGGCTTTAAAGGTCAGCACCAACACTTTGAATTGTGCTCGGAAACGTACTGGGAGCCAATGTAGCTCTTTCAGGACCGGTGTTATGTGGTCTCGGCAGCCACTCCCAGTCACCAGTCTAGCTGCCGCATTCTGGATTAATTGCAGTTTCCGGGTCACCTTCAAAGGTAGCCCCACGTAGAGCGCATTGCCGTAGTCGAAGCGGGACTATAGCAGGGTTGGGGCACGCGTGTGGCTCTCCTGATATTGTTGGAACTCCCAACTCCCATCAGCCCAAGCAGTATGGCCGGTTGTCACAGATGATGGGAGTTGTAGTCCTGCAACACCCGGGAGGCGCCAACTTCCCCCTCCATTTTGTAGCCATGGTGACAGGAGAAGAGCAGCATCTCACGGCTGTGACAGGCCAAGCTAAGTAACTGCCGAGGTTTCAGAATCAAAATGCACAGAGCACCATCTAGGCCCTGTTCAGCTTACCTCCCCCTGAAAAAAATATCAAGGACTGCTGATTAACCATGTGGGGGTTATTTTTTATTGGCAAAACCTGAACCCATCATTTCCACTTCCCTCTTTTAGGAAACAGCCACGCTTCTTCTCAGTTCAGCAGATACCGTATTTTTTGCTCTATAAGACTCACTTTTTCCCTCCTAAAAAGTAAGGGGAAATGTGTGTGCGTCTTATGGAGTGAATGCAGTCTGCGCAGCTATCCCAGAAGCTAGAACAACAAGAGGGATTGCTTCTTTCGCTGCGCAGCAATCCCCCTTGCTGTTCTGGCTTCTGAGATTCAGAATATTTTTTTTCTTGTTTTCCTCCTCTAAAAACTAGGTGCGTCTTGTGCTCTGGTGCGTCTTACAGAGCAAAAAATACGGTACCTCTTACTCTTTCCATATCCCCACCCATTCACAACCACCAGATAAAATATTATGATTCTTCACAAGCTTCAAGAGGAAGCAGAACCTCTTAACTTTTTGTTTCAGCTTCCATCTTCCTAATTTTTTTAAAAAAGGTGGGGTTTTAAATGTGGGTTTCAACTGTATCATCTCTCAAAGCAAGGGACGAGGAGGACGGCTGTCTATCTGTCTATATAAAACGTAATCACACTGTAGGCACGTAAACCCAAACTCGCAAATGCACTTACATATGAAGGAACATTCAAGTGTGCCTGAGAGCACATGGATATACCGTATTTTTCACTCTATAGGACACACTTTCCCCCCTCCAAAAATGAAGGGGAAATGTGTGTGCGTCCTATGGAGCGAATGCAGGCTTTCACTGAAGTCTGGAGAGCGAGAGGGGTCGGTGCGCACCGACCCTTCTCACTCTCCAGGCTTCAGGCAGCTATCCACAAGCCTTCTGAGTGCGGTGGGAGTTCCCGCCGGGCTCCGAAGGCTTGCGAATAGCTGCCTGAAGCCCGGGGACTGCAGTGCCAACTCCCGTTGCGCTCTCCGGGCTTCAGGCAGCTATCCGCAAGCCTTCGGGCTCCGAAAGCTTGCGGATAGCAGCCTGTTCTGGGGGCTGGGGTCGGGGGAAGCTCGGGCTTCCCACACCCCAGCCCCGTGGCTGAGGAGGGGGGATAATTTTTTTCCCTTTATTCCCCCCCCAAAAAAAACTAGGTGCGCCCTATGGTCTGGTGCGCCCTATGGAGCGAAAAATACGGTATTTGCCAAGGTGTCGCCCAGAAACATACATCTCCTGCTTTCGTAACTCAATCCTCACCCAAATATCTTGTTGAGCGTGTTGGCTATAAAATGTTCCTCCTCGTAAGTGCCGACGCTCAAGAGTTGTGCTTTCCGATCGCTGCAGAACAAATGGGCCATGATCCAGTTTTTCTTCTCCTGCAGTTTGTCGTAGGTGAACACCTGCCCAAGAAAAAAGGGAGCCGTTTCACAAACCAATCCCAGTCAGTGAGAGCCGCCCCTTCCGAGTATTACAAGCCCGAACTGCCATGACAAATGTTAAATCCAAAACCAATTTGAGCTAATACCATTCATGTGGTGAACGTGTCCTAAGGTGAAAGACTTCTGGGAAAAGATTTATAATGAATTAACAAAAAAGTTGAAAAATACATTTATTAAGAAACCAGAAGCCTTTCTACTTGGAATAACAGGACCGGAAAGAAGGATGTTAGACTGTTTCTGTATGCCACTACAGCAGCAAGACTTTTATTAGCCAAAAATTGGAAATTGCAAGAAATGCTGACAATAGAATGGCAGATGAAGATGATGTCCTTTTCGGAGATGGCTGACCTGACTGGGAAGAATCTGCAACCAGAAAGAGGAGGAAAAAGAAGAAGACTGGAAGAAATTTAAAGAATATTTAGTGAGATATTGTAATATAAGATAATTAAGAAATTCCTAGAAGTAACAGATTAGGCTAAGGGATAGAAAAAGATTAATAATAATGATTATTATGGATTACAATTGGAAGGAAGGATAAGAAGTTTGTAATGAAAGAGGATATTGATGCTATAAATATGAATTTGGGAACTGCTAAATATGTGTTGTGATGAAATTCAGATTGGAAGGTGTCGAGGAAGTCTTCTAACAATGTAAATATACCAGGGAATAAGAAGGAAAAAATCTTTTGTCTTTTTACTGTTGCTAAGTTTTTATGTTGTGTTAAATGTAATGTTCTTTTCTGTGTTTATGTCTGTGTGCTATAAGAGAAAATCAATAATTTTTTGGAAAAAAGGAAAGAAAAAAGGGAGCCGTTTCACAAACTGATTGCAGTCGGTGAGAGCATTACAAGCCCGAACTGCTGTGACAAATGTTAAATCCAAAACCAATTTGAGCTAATACGATTCACTTTGCATTAAAAGTTTTGAGCATGAACTGGCTGGCTGCCTTCCCTCGTTTTGTACGTACCTTGTAGCAGTGCCTCAACTTGGGGCTGGTGACCCATCCCGCTGGACAAGTTCCCATGAGGCTCGGGGTGGGATGAGGCGAAGGAAGCTCAGGGTTCACCGGAGTCCCCAAATTCTGCCTGCAGATGTATTTGGCCTTGAAACTGGTGCAGTTCTTCACTTCCCATAGTCCCATGGCACTCCCCGTGGCCAAGGCAACGCAGCCGCCTTTGTTATAACCTGAAAGCCTCATGGGAAGGGGGAAACAGGCCAGAGGAAAAATTTAAGCCAAAGGAAACGGTTTCCATCTGGCTTGGCAAAATCAGGCAATAACCACCAAACTAGATAATGGCTGCACACGTCATGGTAAGCTATAAACCATGGTTTACTGTGCATGAACAAACCACACCCCCTTTGCTTCTCCCCACGAATGGGTGGAGGAAACCAGTCACAATCTCTAATTTAACCTTATACCTGAACCAAGGATTATGGTTTGTTTAGCTCCAAACGAAACGCAACAAACCAAGGTTTCTTCTTATTGTTTCTCTCTCTCTCTTTAATTTCTTTTCTTTTATTTTTTCTTTATTTCTCTCTTTTTCTTTGTTCATTCCTTTCTCTCTCCCCCTTTATGTTTTTGTTGTTGTTAGATCAAAGTCTTAGTTCGGACAACAAAAAGGAAAAGATATTTAATATTAAGTTACTATTTTTCTCTACAAACCCTAATAAGATTTATTCAAAAATGAAAAAGGAAGTGCAGACAATTCAGGCAGTCAAGCCAAATTTCTTACTGTGGGGGAAGGCAAAATAAATATTCTTTTTTAAAAGGAAATAAGGGGGATGCATAACCTACTGTGATTGCAGAAGGGAGACACATACTAAGTCACTTGAAAGATGTAAACAAACCCTAGGTACACACACACACACACACACACACACACACACACACAGATATCTATTACCGGGCTGGTTGCGATTCCAGTGGGTGTAGGTGACTTCGTCCCCGCTCAACCAACGAAAGGAGCCCGTTTCATTTATGTCCTGTAGAGCTGTCCAGAAATATTCGTCCTCCCAGCCATAAATTAGACTGCTCACATAGGCCTGTTCAAACCTTGGCCAGGGAGACAAGGGAATGAGTCAGTCGCTTCCTCACCACATCCACCAATCCATGATCTTTCCTCCAGAGGTTGATGGTCAAATAATAATAATAATAATAATAATAATAATAATAATAATAATAATACTACAGTGGTACTTCGGGTTAAGAACTTAATTCGTTCTGGAGGTCCGTTCTTAACCTGAAACTGTTCTTAACCTGAGGTACCACTTTAGCTAAAGGGGCCTCCCACTGCCGCTGCGCCGTCAGAGTGATTTCTATTCTCATCCTGAAGCAAAGTTCTTAGCGGAGTCTGTAACCTGAAGTGTATGTAACCTGAAGTGTCTGTAACCCGAGGTACCACTGTACATACGCTTACAGGTTACAGACTCCGCTAACCCAGAAATAGTGCTTCAGGTTAAGAACTTTGCTTCAGGATAAGAACAGAAATCGTGCTCCGGCGGCGCAGCGGCAGCAGGAGGCCCCATTAGCTAAAGTGGTGCTTCAGGTTAAGAACAGTTTCAGGTTAAGAACGGACCTCCGGAATGAATTAAGTACTTAACCCGAGGTACCACTGTAATAGTAATAATTTATTATTTATACCCCAGCCACTCTGCGCAGCTCCCAACAGAACACTAAAAACAGAATAAAACAGCAAACAATAAAAGCTTCCTGATACAGGGTTGCCTTCTGACTGTCTAAAAGTCAGATAGTTGTTTATTTCCTTGACATCTGATGGGAGGGCGCCACTACTGAGAAGGCCCTCTGCCTGGTTCCCTCTAACATCACTTCTCACAGTGATGGAACCACCAGAAAGCCCTTGGAGCTGGATCTCAGTGTCCGGGCTGAACGATGGGGTTGGAGACGCCCCTTCAGGTATACTGGACCGAGGCCGTTTAGGGCTTTAAAGATCAGCAGCAACAATTTTAATTGTGCTCGGAAATGTACTGGGAGCCCATGTAGGTCTTTCAGGACCAGTGTTATGTAGTCTTGGTGGCCGCTCCCAGTCACCAGTCTAGCATCCTGTTGCTTTTTGCCATGTGGCAGCCAGGATGCATAAAGGTAAAGGTAAAGGGACCCCTTACCATTAGATCTAGTCGTGGATGACTCTGGGGTTGCGGCGCTCATCTCACTCCACTGGCCGAGGGAGCCGGTGTACAGCTTCCGGGTCATGTGGCCACCATGACTAAGCCACTTCTGGCGAATCAGAGCAGTGCACGGAAACGCCATTTACCTTCCCGCCGGAGCGGTAACTATTTATTTACTTGCACTTTGACGTGCTTTAGAACTGTTAGGTTGGCAGGAGCAGGGACCGAGCAACGGGAGCTCACCTCGTCGCGGGATTTGAACCGCCGACCTTCTCATCAGCAAGTCCTAGGCTCTGTGGTTTAACCCACAGCGCCACCCGCGTCCCTTGCCAGGCAGCATAGATCCTTCCAAAAATAACCAAGAGGTCAAGCGGCTGGCCTAGCCTTTCCCTCTAAGTGTTTGCAGCACAATATCTGAAAACCCATTCCATGATAATCTAATTTCTTTAAATAATAAAAAAGATGTTTGTTGAATCAAAACTCCGGATGGCTTACAACAGAACACACACCTGTTGGTGATGGTGACCAGAGTAGACGAATAATCTGTGCACACCTTCCGAGCATCACTGTATGTCACGTGGTCGTCTCCCAGCCAATAGCAAGATGGAGTTTGCCATTTCCAGCCCTGGGGAAAACGTGACAGAAAAACGTCAACGAAATGTAGAAATCTAAATCAAATAAGTGTTGGAAATGTAAAGAGAAAGAAGGTTCTTTCTGTCTTATGGTTGCAGTAAGGTTAAAGCTTACTGGGAAATGATATATAATGAATTGAAAAGGATGTTTAAAATAATCTTTGTAAAAAACAACAAAACAGAAGCTTTTCTTTTGGGAATTATAGGGGCATAAATACCTAAACTGTATAGAAACTTATTCATGTATGCGACTACAGCGGCAAGAATGTTACTCGCCCCAAAATGGAAAGAAGCAGAAGTCTCAGCAAAGGAAGAATGGATACAAAAACTCATGGAATATGCAGAAATGGCAAAACTTACCAGGAGAATAAGAAATCAACACAACAAACTTTTTTTTATAAAAGAATGGAAATGGTTTATTGAATATTTACAGATAAATTATAAGCAGATAAGAACACTGGCAGGATTATTGCAATAACTTGCAGTTTTATAAGAGCATATATTTAAAGTAGATGAATAAATGAGCAAATTAAGTTAATCTGGATATGCAGAAGATAGTAAAAATAAATTTAAGGAACCGCAGAGAGAGGGGAAAGGAAGTCAAGTTCTGAAATGTTTAAATGATTGTGAAATTAGTGTAATGTATAAATCTGAAAAGCATAAATAAAATAAAATAAACAATTGCAAAGAGTAAGGCAATTTCTATTACTTTTGATCTGACCAAAGTGTTACTGTGCTTTGCTAGGTAGACTTTCAAACTGCTTTCGAACTGCTAGGTGGGCAGGAGCAGGGACCGAGCAATGGGAGCTCACCCCATCATGGGGATTCGAACCACCGACCTTCTGATCGGCAAGCCCTAGGCTCTGTGGTTTAGACCACAGCGCCACCCGTGTCCCATAAAATACATTTAGAAATGCATAAATGCTAAACAAAAGTTTATGTAAATATGATTTTCATATGGATTTTTCTATATTACCGTATTTTTCGCCCCATAGGACGCACTGCCCCATAGGACACACCTAATTTTTTTTTTTGGGGGGGGGAATAAAGGAAAAAAAAATTTCCCTCCCCACGCACGGGGCAGGCACGGGGGAAGCCCGAGCTTCCCCCGACCCCAGAACAGCCTGCTATCTGCAAGCCTAGGGAGCCACACCGGTCTCCCCAGGCTTGCGGAGAGGTGTGTGAAGCCCGGACGCGCTCTTCAGCGCGCACCAGGCTTCAGAATGCAGGCAGCTCTGCGCTACCCTCCGGAGCCCCGCGCGGCTTTGCGCCGGGATCCGGAGGGTGGCGCAGAGCTGCAGGAAGCCCGGGAAAGCCTGCATTCGCCCCATAGGACGCACACACATTTCCCCTTCATTTTTGGAGGGGGGAAAGTGCGTCCTATGGGGCGAAAAATACGGTAAAAAAGTAAACTCACAGATAGATGTAGAACTGGGAGAGACCCAACATATGAAAGATCATATGTAACAATGAGAAAGATTTGGGCATTCCATTGAACAAACTTATCAAACCAACATTGTCCCTGAATGATGAGTCGACATTGCAAATTGGAAAGGAGTCACACACTTTCTATGTACAGTTGTACCTTGGTTTTTGAACAGCTTAGTTCTCGAACGATTTGGCTCCCAAACGCTGCAAACCCGGAAGTGACTGTTCTGGTTTGCGAACAATTTTTGGAACCCGGACATCCGACAGGGCTTCCGATTGGCTGCAGCAGCTTCCTGCATCCAATCAGAAGCTGTGTTTTGCTTTCTGAACGTTTTGGAAGTCAAACGGACTTCTGGAATGGACTCCGTTCAACTTCCAAGGTACGACTGTGTTATGTACTGAGTTGAATAGGATCCAAAATGCAGCAGTCTGATTGGTCCTAGTAGGATTCAGAATGCAGCAGTCTGATTGGTCCTAGAACAATGCAGCAGTCTGATTGGTCCTAGAACAATGCAGCAGTATGATTGGTCCGCAGGAGCCACCCAATCCAGCTCCAGATGGAAGTGAATCCACAACCTGATTGGCCTACAGGAGAATCCCGGAATTAGCCAATCACGTGCAGCCCATTGTGTAAATAATGTATATAAAGCAGATATTTGGGGGGAACTTTCATTCCTCCTCACTATGAGCTGAATAAAGAGCATGAAATCCACTCTCGACTCCGAGTATATTTCAGACTGTATTTCTGTTCCCTCCTTGCTTAGAGTCATCCACACGATCATTTGAACCCGTGTTCGAAACAGAACTTTGTTAAGCCCACCATCAAGGCTTAGCAAGACGAGCCACTTGCCATCTGCTGCTGCAAGCTGAGTGTGGGCCAGCTTTTGGCAGCCCATCCCAGTGACTGCTTTTTAAAGGGGAAATAAGTATTATCCGTTCAAGCTTAGCTCAGCACATTGCTAATGGTGGCTGCATGCTTATGGTGGTGGAGATGAAATTCAACACAGTTTGATTAAGAAACCACAACTACCAAGTATGCAAACCTAGGCTCTCAACTAAGGAGGGCAGGCATTTGTTAAAATCACTGTTTATTTTACCATCCCAAGAGAAAATATCAAATAGTCACACCGTATATCAAAAGCACCTTTGGCTGCAGTCCTAAGCACGCTGACCGCTTACTCTAAAAAAATAATAATACTCACACCCACCTTTTCAAAACAGAAACTGGAGCATCTTACAACGCAGGATAAAAACTACAGCAATAAAAGCACAACCAACAATGAAAACAAAGAACCCCAACATAGTGGAAATAAGAAACTGTTCATTATTAAAACTAAGCACCAGGGGATCACAAGAGAGAATAAAATCCTCAACACTGAAGTGTATATATAAATTTAGCAAATAAATAAAATAACTACAGTGGGCCTTTTCTGTAGTGGCTCCTCATTTGTGCAATGCTTTCCCCAGGGAGGTTTGCCTGGTGCCTTCACTTTATATTTTTCAACCAGGCCTTCGGCTGATTAATAGTCTACGGCCTTTTAAATGTTTCTGTGGGAAGGTGGGGGTTATTGTTTTTGTTGTTTTGGTTTAATTATTTACAGTGGTACCTCGCAAGACGAATGCCTCGCAAGACGGAAAACCCGCAAGACGAAAGGGTTTTTTGTTTTTTGAGCTGCTTCGCAAGATGATTTTCCCTATGGGCTTGCTTCGCAAGACGGAAACATCTTGCAAGTTTGTTTCCTTTTTCTTAACACCGTTAATACAGTTGCGACTTGACTTCGAGGAGCAACTCATAGCACGCGGTGTGCTGGCCTTTTTTGAGGTTTTTGAAGACTTTGGTGATTTTTGAAGCTTTTCCAAAACTTTTCCGACACCATGCTTCGCAAGACGAAAAAAATCGCAAGACAACAAAACTCGAGGAACGAATTAATTTCATCTTGCGAGGCACCACTGTACCTGTGTTTTATCTTTGTGAACCGCCCTGAGATCTTTTGATAAAGGGTGGCAATCAAACAAACACTGAGGTCCAGCTCCGAGAGCCTTCTGGCGGTTCCCACACTGAAAGAAGTGAGCTTACAGGGAACCAGGTGGAGGGCCTTCTCGGTAGTGGCACCCGCCCTGTGGAACACCCTCCCAACAGATGTCAAGGCAATAAGCAAGTATCTTACTTTTAAAAGGCATCTGAAGGCAGTCCTGTTTAGGGAAGTTTTTTAAATGTTTAATGCTGTATTGTGTTTTTAATATTTGGTTGAAAGCCACCCAGAGTGGCTGGTGAAACGCAGCCAGATGGACAGGGTATAAGTAATAAATTATTATTATATTGTTATAAACAAACATACAAATGTGGAAAAAGGGCAATCAAGGCAGCAAATTCCTCTCCCATCCCTGACTGGCATGCAGGATGCACTTTCTGAGAAATGGGCCCTATGGCTTCACAGTCCCTTCCCATCCCACCCAAAGTAGACCCACTGAATTTAATGGGTGCAAGTTAAAGGTAAAGGTAAAGGTACCCCTGCCCGTACGGGCCAGTCTTGACAGACTCTAGGGTTGTGCGCCCATCTCACTCAAGAGGCCGGGGGCCAGCGCTGTCCGCAGACACTTCCGGGTCACGTGGCCAGCGTGACAAGCTGCATCTGGCGAGCCAGAGCCGCACACAGAAACGCCGTTTACCTTCCCGCTAGTAAGCGGTCCCTATTTATCTACTTGCACCCGGGGGTGCTTTTGAACTGCTAGGTTGGCAGGCGCTGGGACCGAGCAACGGGAGCGCACCCCGCTGCGGGGATTCGAAGCGCCGACCTTTCGATCGGCAAGCCCTAGGCGCTGAGGCTTTTACCCACAGCGCCACCCGCGTCCCCTGGGTGCAAGTTAGGCATGTCCATTAACTTCAATGGGACTGCTTGGAGCAGAATCAGCACTGGATGCAACCCTTTGGATTTCTGCAGCATCCTTTTTACGGGAAAGAAAGGAAGTGACTACTTGCATAGCAGTCAACTTACAGATTTGAAAATAAGGGACCAGCAGACTCGAAAATAAGGGATCAACAATTACTTTGATAAAATACATATTTTGCTGCATGCAAAAGGCTTTAGATACCTATTAGGTCCATAAATTACCATATAGCATATATTCAACACAAAAAAACAGCAACAATTTGTTGTTGACAAAGCACAGCTGGACATAGAAAGGTCCCCATTACCTTCAGTAGCTTATTTAAGGGACATCATCAATAAGGGACAGCAGCAGGAGATGGCGCTGGGATAAGGGACTGTCCCGCCAAAGAAGGGACGCTTGACAGCTATGGACTACTTGTGTGGACTTGGCCTGTGGGTCATGGGTGGTGGGGGTCTCCATTATTGGTGCCTGCCCTCTCCAGCTAGCATGGCTCTGGCTTCGTTTTCAAGGTCACAGCACAAGGAGAAGACGTTGCAGAGTTTAGAAAGGAAGAAGGAAAACACATCAAAGCCGCTTGAAATCCCAACACCCTAAGCCAAGCTACCAATGCCCAGAAGAGTCCAAGAAGGGGAAGCGAACTCTCTTCCTTCGGCAAGAGAAAAAAGGAAAAAGG